CCCTGTAGGGTACAGCTAATAGCATACCTGCCCCTGCTAGGAGATAGCTGCTGCTACAGTACTAACGGCTAGCACAAACCCATTCCTTTATATTCAATTGTTCTTGTAATCTGTGACAGATTATAATCACACTTGAGAAAACTAAATCAAGAGAATGCTTCCAGGATTTATTGTTGATTCCAGATGTGCTGCAACTGCTTGTCATCTACTAAGAGGCTAAATGTGAACCTATGTGTAATAATCAAAGCAATTAAGTCCCTGTCCTTGTGGAGTAGAGACTCTGGGTCTTAAACCAGAACCAGGACGTTTGTACTTAACTAACCGGGTCTGATTTTGCTCCAGTCCCGTGTTGGTGATGGGGGGGGGGGTACTCACGTGTGTGGGATTACTCCAATAAACAGAGACAGTATTCTTCCCCACTCTACTGCACCGCTGACCCACAGACCCAGAAACGCTGTGAGCCATCAAACCTTGCACTGTACTGAAGGGGTCAGAGACAAGAAAGGGAGGCGGGGTGAGGAGACGGGCCCGATAGCTGGTTTCGTTTGTCAGTGAAAAACAACTTTCTGCTCCCAGCTGAATCCTCAGCAGTGACGTTTTTACACTGAAATTTAACTGTGAAAAATGACTTAGTGAAGCAGCTGTGACTTTGGCAAATGAGAGCGAGCGGCTGCCGAGGCACCCAAGGACTCAAGGAACTCACATCCTCACTCTCTCCTCGGTCCTAATTATTTCTCTCCTGTCCCTCCCTTCTGTTTTTCCTGCCATAAACAAGTTTAGTGTTGTTAAACTGCGGATTAAGTAAATACACCTTTATTGGTATAACATCCTTCCCAGGATAAAAAGACTTCACAATAGACATGTGAAACAAATGTAAGTATTCTGACCTGTATCTGAGCTCTACAGAAAAGCAGCAAATTACTCAAACAATCCAAACAACACCTGCTGCTGCTATGATCCACCATTACTCACCTGACAGAGTCCTCCTATTTGCTCACTGCTCACCCTATTTAAAGCTGTTCACATTCAAACAAACCCTTATTGACAAAAGTGCACCTCTATTGTCACCAATGATTGAATCCCCATTATCCATCAGTGATGCGCTGACATGTACAGTAGACAGGTCGGGGGGGGGGAAGGGGGGGGACTGGTTAGATGGTGCAGAACCGGAAAGGCTCCTGACTGATTAATGTGTTTCTCTGCATCATGTCCCCCCTTTGCTTCTGTCTTGGTCTTCTGAGGAATGTAAGAGAGTCTGTGCTTCTATTTTATTTGTTTGACAAGTATTTTGGTAAAAAAAAAAAAAAAAAAGGCAATGGGTAAAAATCTAACAGGTAAAAACAGCCTCACCTGATTAAACTGGAAACTCCACAAAGATTAAATAAAGTTTTATAATAACAAAGTGTTACAATCCACAGGCTGAGCTATAACAAAAATATTTTCACCCCCTCACAGAGTCTTTCTGTTTTTGCTTCAATCTCTGCAGAAAAATGTCAATTTCAGACAGAGATCATCTGAGTAAATACAAATGTTAAAAAGTTCCTGTCCTTCTTGTTAAACCATTAAAACCTGTGATGAGACATAATTTGGAAAGCTGGTTCAGTGACATCCAGAAGCACAAAGTAGGCTGAAAGATCTCAAAATGTAACAAAAGACCTCAGAACATCTAAAGCATTTCTCTGCCTTAAGGTGAAGGTCGGAGGTCATATAACAGTGGAGGGTGACATTCAAACGAGAGTTCAAAGGTAAAAATCTCTGCTGACCAAAGACAACAGAAGGGCCAGTCTCACAACATCTCAATTCTTTGGACCGAGGACACAACAGCGGAACTTTTTGGGAGACGTGTTTCCTGTTTCATCTGATCTAGACCTGACACTTAAACATCACAGCAACAGTCAGACACGGTGGTGGTAGAGTGATGGTCTGGAGCAGCTTTGCTGATGGAACCATGATTTCTGCTCTCTAACAGCTTTTTCCACGCAGGTTGGTTCGCATAAAATTTCCCCTAAACAAAATTGTTTGAAAACTTTATTCTCTATTTGCGCAGATCATCTTTGTTTGAATATTAAAATTTGTTTTCCACTCTAAAACATTTAAGTGTGACATAAAAATCAGGGTTCAGGGCAGGTCACAGGACTGAATCTGCTCTTTTAATGGTTTTTAATGACACGTTTTTAGCCTGTGACATGGATAACGATGTTGTCCTGCTATTGCTGGACTTATCTGCAGCTTTTGATACAGTTGACCACGAAGTCCTTTTGGACCGACTACAGGATTGGGTGGGGATAACTGGGCAGGCCCTCCAATGGCTTCGCTCCTACCTTCATGACAGGACATTTAGTGTTCAGATGGGTGAGGTGACATCTCCCTGCGTGAGACTTCGTTGGGGTGTGCCACAGGGCTCTGTCCTTGGTCCTCTCCTATTTGCAGTGTATTTGCTTCCTCTTGGAGTCCTCCTTTGTCAGCATAATGTGAAATTTCATTTTTTTGCTGATGACTGCCAGATCTATCTCCCTCTTCGACGTGGGGAGGATGGATCTGTTTCTCCTTAATTGGACTGTTTGAAGGACATAAAATGTTGGATGGCTTCTAATTTTTTGCACCTAAATGAGAGCAAAACAGAAGTCATAATACTTAGTCCTGGCAGAAGAAATGGCTCAGGTGCTGATATTGACCTTGGCCCATTGACCCCCTATGAAAAGAAAATAGTAATTTGGGGATAAAAATTGACTCCTCACTTAATCTTGACACTCACGTAAATACAGTGGTGAGGTCCTGTTTTTTTAACCTGAAACGACTATCCAGGATCAGGCCTCTGCTGTCCAGAGCTCATCTGAAGTCTGTGTTGCATGCTTTCGTCCTGTCCCGTCTGGACTACTGTAACGCTCTGTATGCTGGTCTGGGCCAGTGCACGGTTGCACGGCTCCAATTCGTACAGAATTCAGTGGCTAGGTTCCTGACAGGTACTAGATGTCGAGAGCACATTACCCCAGTGCTGGGAGCTCTGCATTGGCTCCCGGTGCAATACCGAGCTAAATATAAAATCTTAACTCTCGTTTATAAGGCCCTCCAGGGCAGTGCCCCCTCTTACATTACTGCACTTTTGCACAGGTATGCTCCATCTCGGTCTCTTCGCTCAGCCGAGCAGGGACGTCTGGTGGTCCCCTGGTCGAAATATCGATCGAGGGGTTATCGTGCATTTTCTGTTTTGGCTCCAACTCTGTGGAATGAATTGCCATTGAGCATCAGGCAGGCATCGTCCCCTCAAGTCTTTAAGTCTCGTCTAAAGACTCATTTTTATTTGATTGCTTTTCAGCGCTAGGGTTCTTTGAATTGCCCTGACATTATGGTTTTTAATACTTCTTCGTTTTGATCAGGATGCTTGATCTTATTTTGTCCACCATTTGTTTTTAATTGATTAGTCTTATTCTGTTATCTCTCTGTATTTGTAATATTGCTTGCTTGTTATTTTATGATTTTATGTTTTTATCTTGCTTTTATGCCCAGGTACTGGGAATGTTTTTATGATGATGCTGTTCAGCACCTTGGGCTTCTGATAACGTTGTGGAAGGTGCTCTACAAATAAAATTGATTGATTGATTGATTGATTGATTGATTGATTGATTGATTGCTTGGTTGATTGATTGATAAAGAAAAAACAGCAAATATGTCAGGGAGCAAATACTTTCTCACAGCACAATAGGAGGAACTAAAATGTTACTGTATGAAGCTGAAGCTCATCGCTGTGCCACAAACTATCGGTCTGGTAAAATAAAGTAAAATAATATTTTTGTGTTATAAAGAAATGTGTGAATGTGCTTCAACAATTGGGCCGGAAAAAAGACCAACACAGGATTTTACATTTAAGAACCGTCATCCATAATGCATCATTTAAATATTTTACACCATGAACACTATTCAGCAAAGATGTGATGTCATGGTACACAAGCTGCTTTGTTAGAGATGATTCTTTGGATTCTGTCGCAGGAAAAGAGGTCAAATTTAAATCCAGCAATTCTGTCTTTTGCAAGGGCCTCATCGCCCACCCCGGGGCATGAAAGGAATGCCTTGTTGCAACCAGGCTGCTGTGAGAGGACGTAGTTCTGATCAGAACAGAGGCAGTCAGATCCAGAATCATACAGAAGAGAGAAAAGAAGGAGAATGGGACGTAGGGCCAAAATGTCTGCTGTTATCGGTGCAGTGTGCAAATACCACAGCTAAATGAAATCCACACAAAAGAAGAGGACACAAGCAGAGAGGGTGTGGCTGTCCTGCAAACTCCAGGAGCAAAGAATGGAAAAAGTGTCCTAAATATAACGCCAGTGTTTATGATTAGCTTTAAAAATGTGATTAATAAAAGTACATTTCTGCATGGAAAAAAAATCTAAAGGAGCTAGACATGGAGAATTTCCCTGTAATGAAATTAGGCACTTGTTATCTAGGGTTCATCTCAGGTTCCAGAAACCTCCAATCAGAGCCACACAAAGATATCTAATCGCCCCAATCACAGCCAGGACATGAAAGCTGCCTGACTCCAGCCACACAATTTCTGAGGCAAACAGACTTCTGGGTAACAGATAGAGCTGATATCACAATCCCAAGTGGCCATCTGTGTAAAAACATACACCACACTAGATGTACTTTGGCCACAAGAGCAGTGTTTCCTCTGGGCTCCTCCTTTGGAGATCGTGTTTGTGTGATGTCAACTTGTGGCCAAAGCTACACAGATAACAGCTCTTAGAGCAGGACACACCAACAAAAACAACCCAAAACACATAAAAAATGTTTACATGTCACCATTAAACCTGGCAGTATAATAAATAAATCATTAGTAATGGATCATGTGGCTATATCACAATCAGAAATATTTAAATTGCAAGAAAAAAATCAAAGAAACTAAGTTTAACTGCTCACAATATAAATAAGGAACTGAGTAGGTGCACACCCAATTAAAAAATGTGTAAACAGTGAACATTGTAGTTGTGTGGTCAGTAGATTACCTCCTCCTGTGCAGCGTAGTGAGGGTCTGCCGGGTCCACAGACCAGTAGCAGTAATCAAAACAAAACTCCAGGAGCTTCTCCCTGGAATCCACAGATCCCTCCGTACATCCATCCAACTTCAGGAAAGAAACAAAACACAACTCTTACTAAATGTACCTGCGCTATCAGCACTTAGCATAACATTAGCGGCTAGGGTCAATCAGTCCATGTGTGGTTCTTTTTAAATGGCAATTACAGAAAGTCCCTCCATAGTGAAACTGAATTTGTGTTTATTTATTTAATAACAAGTTAAGGAAAAAGATGCAGCAGCTAAATTAAAGAGAACATAGTAAAAAAAAATATAAGCTAGCACAACATATTTTATCTATGGGACTACTACAGGATGGAAATGCAAGCAGGCTGTTTCCATTCATTAACACAGCTCTTCCTCCTCCTTCAGTGCCTTATTCGCTTCGGTGCGTCAACACTTAACACTGTTCTGCTTACCGAGAGCGATACAAGCACTGAGAACGAAAACAGCACAGCAGCATTTAGTGTTGCTTGTGAACAGCTGTTAAACTAGAGAACAACACGGCATCGCAGCTATTTTTCTAAATCACTGCATTCATTTGAGTTGAGTGAAACTCAGATGTTTCACTGAATGGATTTAAGATGTAAGTAAACTGGTTGGTGCAAGTTTGTAAAGATTAAGCAGAAACCCATCAATATCAAAGTATCATCTTCTTCCTTCTGTGGTGTGGCTGTGAGAGACAACCATTTACCCCCTTTTGTTTATTACTACTCAGATTATTAGGTCTTTTATAGTCACCATCAAAAACATTTTCCCCTTAATTATTTCTGCCTGTGATCCTCCAAAACTGCCCCACTTTTTCCATACATAATTACTCCCGTGAGACCCGGAGAGCCTCGGAGTTTTGATCCTTTTCCGAGGCAGAAGGAGGCCATGTGTGGCTTGTCTCTTGTCACATCATTTAGAACCGATTTTTCTACCCCCACACCCAACTCCTCTACAGGAATCCATGTTTAGAAATAGAAATGTAAACAAAGAGGGTTTTCGTCAAGAAGCAATCTAAGACAATAAGTACTTATCAAACATGAGCGTGTGTTCCTGCTAAATTTGAGTTTTTACACATAAAGTTTATTCATTCTATTCATGATTACATAAATTTTAAAACTTGGATATGGATATAGTTTGATTTATGACCAACAACATGGTCAGAACATCTTAAAACTGGGTTATAAAGGGAAAAAAATGAACAGACAAGGCTAGACTGAAAAAGCAAGCTGGTAAAGTAGTGAAAGTGTCGCCTCGCAAGAGGAAAACACTCATAATTATTTCCAAATGTGAGAAACTTCTATTAAATCTATAAAAACCAACTTCAAATATAAGATTACAGCATAAATCAACAACAAATTAAAACAAGAACCAGATTGAACGACTTAATTAACATCAAAGCTCCTGTTTCTTCTGTTGTTAGAGTCGTTTTCTAGGAGTATGTTGTAATTTTAACTGTGCAGGGTTTCAGACCACATGTGGCCGACAGAAAGATACTCTCGATCCATGTGTGTGTGTGTGTGTGTGTGTGTGTGTGAGCTCCAAACACACCATCAACAACAGTGACACCAACCAGGAAAAGGCTGATCTGAGGCTATAAACATCCTGTTGCTCTGACAGATAACCTCCTTCGTCCTACTACTGATTCATTTTGGTCCTGCCAACAAACCAAAACAATTCAATCAATAAAAGTCACGCTCTCTGTGTGGGAAAGCTCACCTTCACATTTTGGATTCGCACAAACTTATCCTCCACCTGAACTGCTATCCTTCCTCCATCGGTGCTCTCCCTGTGGTAGAGAAAAATAAACCGACTGTGTTTCAGGTGATGTGATCCACTCTGATGAAAACAGCAACATCAGGAGGGAGAAAACAATACCCCCCCCCCCCGCCCCCCCCCCCCACACACACACACACACATACACACACACAGGAGAGATGATAAAATCTAAAGAATGTGATCAGTATAGATCAGGATCTGACCGAAAACCGGACATGGAAATTCCCTTTAGGACTAAGCGTTGCATTATTACCGAATGTACTGTTTCTGTTTTGCTGAGGCGAGTTTAACCGACGCTGTCCAGATACATTTAGGAGGACTTGAGGTCATCCCATAACAGGTAACTCAATGAATATTTGTGTGCATCTGATACATGAAATTCTCACACAAGAACACAACTGACCAGTTTCAGATTTCATGAAAGTAGACCCCAGTGCTCCACTTTCACTAGGGAGGCAGCTAGAGCCGTTTTCACAGATTTGAGCGAGTGCACTGTTGTGTGAGCACAGTCATGTGTGTGTGTGTGTGTGTGTGTGTGTGTGTGTGTGTTTCAGCAGCTGGACCAAGTTGATCTGACGCAACACATGGAAAACCGGAGGCATTAAGAAACTGATCTCCGGGAGTGACTTGGATCTCCAGGAGCGATAACGATGGTAAATGCTGCCTGTAGCACAAACGCTGCTTCTGGGGGTAGGAGCAGATGAAGAGGCTGTTGTGCTCTCCAGCTCTCTCTGGGCTTCAACACGCGGAACTCATTAGGCCTACCCCAGCTGTGGCCCAACCCAAAACCACCAACCTTCGATGCAGAACTCCAACCAGCGCAGCGAAGACGACGCTTTGCCATGAAGCATAGAAACTTTACTTAAAAACTAGAGATTTCACAGTTGGGTTACATGTTTCTTGCACATGGCTGCATTCTCAGGGGAGCCCTGATTCCTACTGGTCACTTAAAACAAAGAGTAACACAAATGTGCAACCAGCTAATGCAGCTAACCAGCAGTTCCAAATTTACAGGGAAGGATTAGAAGACGGTGAATCCATCATGATAACAGGGTTAGTGAATTGGGAAGAAATGATTTGCATGACAGTGCACAACTGATACAATAAATGTTTTTGTTATGCAAAATATGAGGGAAAGTGCTGAATGAATCACCATCCTGCCTTTTATAGCTGGAATGAGGCTTTGTTTTAGAACCAAGCCCCCACAAAGTGGCACAAAAATTGACTCCAACCCAGAAGTACCAAAAATTGCAGTTCCACCCTCATCCGCTGGGGGCTGGTGTCAGAAGCGAGCAAACCCTCATTGACTCCCATGTTAAAAATACCTATTTCACAGCAGAAATAAACATGTTTACAGCCTGGTACCAAAACATGTTTTTGGTTTAAATTATCTAGTTTACACTCATGACAACTCTGAGGGGGGGTGAATTTTTTTCTCACTCTTCTGTTTAAGTGTATTAAAAGCCTAAAATTCTGTATAATTAATGAGCATCCGACCCACGTGACCACAGAGCTAGCTCCATGGAAAGGCCTCAGTAGAGCCTCGGTCTGGCTTGGAAACTGCTCCGGGATTTTGAGTCTCTGTGTTTGTGTATTCTTGTTTGGATATTTTTTGTGCAACTGTTGGACAAAATGACTTGCTGTGGCATTAATTGAACTAATAGAGCATCCAAGGAGTCTCCACTTCATTTTTTTCGGTAAGTAAAATTATATTTATGCATTTTAGGTCACTGCTGAGCTGAGCTTAGATTTTAACATGTACTGTTTAACCATGAAATTTAAATGTAATAGGGTAAAACCCAGTGCATTTAACATAATGCTGCACTTTAGAAAATGGGTTGAAATATAACATGTTGGTGGAGCTGGGTTCCGACTATCGGCTTGTGGAGCTCTTGGGAGACCGATGTTTTCCACCCGTTTCTCCCCTCCCCGCAGCTCGGCGCATCTCTGTCTGATCGCGTCTTCTGTCTGCTGCGCGGGCTGCTGGCTTGTGGAGCTCTCGGGAGACCTCTGTGTTCCACCCAGTTTTACCCAGCGGTCAGCCCGGCGTATCTCTGACTCAGAAGCTCTGGTGTTGTGCACAGTTAACTCCGGTTGTAGCTAGGTTGCTACCTCCGTTAGCTTAGCTCCCACCTCTGCGTTAGCTTTGGGTTAGCTTCAGGTTAGCTTGTAGCTAGTTCGACCGGGTGTCATCAGTTGATCCCAGCCTTACAGCCCCACCCTCAGCTCCACCTCTCTTCCCTTTTGTGGCATTGTCTGGGCTTGACGGAACCTGTGACACGGTCAAAATGGCGGTGGTGGCCACCTCCCATTTTAGCACAAAAACGTGTTATTGGAGCCTATGGAAATGAATTTTCCAGTATATATGTCGATGTTTAGAACCGTAGTGACCTGCAACTTAACCAGTCCTGCAGCCACAGAGCTCATACACGCATCACAACAGCACAGAAACCTGTTACCCAACATGCCATTCCAACTGGCCCAAAACTCTACAAAGGGGTACTCCAGAGGGGTGGAGGAACTGTACCGCCCAAGCTCCTTTAGTTTGAAAAGTTATTACAGCACAGTAAAATGTGACTTTCCCCATATAGGTCTCAGACTACACAAAGTAAACATTTGTTCATGGTGCATTTAAAAGACAGGTAAGGGCATATGCTGGTGAAGGTTTTAGGTCACATCTTTCTACATTTAATCAACACGACTCTCTCTCAGTAGCAACTAACAACTCATCAGGAGGTAGAGATTAGGGGTATTCAGAGTAGTTTCTGCTCATTAAACAACAATAGACAGCTACAGTTTATAAGCCTGACTCTTCTATTTTCCACTCAGAATTGACAAAGATCCCCGGATGAGAAGTGAAACGTCTTCAAGAAACCAAAGAAGTCTAGTTGCCTTCATCTGAACCCTTCTGAAGTATAAAAGCATACGATAATTGGACTTTGATATAAATTAAATTAATAAAGATATAAATAGATCTTCTACCAGATATACCCTAATTTTTTGTCATAATTTGACATGCATTAGTTCAGGCTTGGAGGGCCGCAAAGTTAATCTGCCCTGTCAAAACCAATTTGTTCCAATTGAAATCAAAGAGCTATATATGACAGAATACAAATTTTCTCTAACTTAAAATCCAAAAAGTAAAATGTGTCAAGTGAAAGATCTGTTACTGTTAGAATGGATTTGTGCTTAGAGATGATGAGTTCAAAGTCCATGCAAAATGTCATTTCTTTTAAACACTGTTTGGCAAAGATGCATTCAGGGGCCAGTGGGAGAGGGGTTTTATTTTTCAGATTTGCCGATGATAAATTGAGTCTGAAAAGGGTCTGCAGTGGTGCGGGATCGATCCATGTTCCAACCCTCACCCATGGTCACCTTAGGGATAGGGTGAGAAGCTTGGTCGAACAGGAGGGGCTCAGAGTAGATCTACAGCTCCACTACATTGAGAGGAGCCAGTTGAGGTGGCTCAAGCATCTGGTTAGGATGCCTCCTCAACGCCTCCCTGCAATTTTCCGGGCACGTCCAACTGGGAGGAGACCCAAGGGACATGCTGGAGGGACTTTGTTTCTGGGCTGGCCAGGGAACACCTTGGGATTCAGAGCTGGCAATAGTGGCTGCAGAGAGGCAAGTCTGGGCCTATCTGCTTAGGCTTCTGCCTCTGCGACCTGACCCTGGATAAGCAGCTGAAAATGGATGGAAGGTCATAAAATTGGCCAATCGTGCTGCATACTGGCTGATTCCCATCTGCAGACCATATTTCTAGTGTACCTCTTAATGTTTATGGGAGGTTATTACTGTGTAACAAAATCTCTCACAACGTTTCACCCAATTTTACCTTCATCACACAACTCATTTATCTCACAGAGGAGTCCAGTCAGCTTAAAAACACTCCCATCAGGACAGAACGGTTTGATCATTGGAAGATAAGTGATTCGCTTGTTTTTATTTAATAAAATAACACAAGAAACCAGATATTGGCATGACTACAGCAGATGTATTTAGACTTTAAAGCATTTATTTTCACTCTTCGGACCCAGTTGTAAAAAGCAACAACTTTGACGTAAATCACGTAAGAGGTTTTCACACCTAACCACAGACACAACTGCTACAGTTGTTTTCCTTCACCATGTGCACCACTTATCACCACTACTGCGGTTGGTTCACTCGAGTAGTCCAGCTCAAAGGCAAATTATGCCTGTTTACAAATGACTGCAGCCAAAATGACGGACACCACTCACCAAATTAATTCATAATAATAAAAAATATCAGCGACACAACTGTGATTCGTTTAAGCGTTAAAATGAGCTAGAAGTTTAAAAAAAGACAAACTTACCTCGCGCTCGGAGGTCGCACCCGAACGGCAACTTTAACATTTGCCATGTTCTTAATGAGGTTTTAGAGAACCCAGAGGTCCAGAGTCGGTATAAAGTCACGTTTTGTCCGTCAACATAATGATTGAGGTGTTACTATTTCGGTAAAAGGAGGATAAAGCTGCTCGGACATCTTCGGGTGTGGTTCGGAGGGCGCGCGCCGACTTTCTCAAACTCTTCGGACACTTCCTCGCGGAGCGGACAAGGGCTGGAGGAGGGAGGAGATGCTGCTCACTCACTCCTCCCTTTAATCTGTTGGGATTTGAATTAGAACAGTTTTAAATACGAATGTGACTTCTTCTATCCCACCATTATTACTTTTTTCAGATACAAAGATTATTTTCTCTCTGCTTTGATTAAAAACAAAAAAATAAATTAAAAACCATACAAAACAAGACATCAGAACAAATCTTTATTACATATTTTATTTTTCTCATAAAACATTTCGGCCTGAAAGATGCAGGAAATGCAGTTCAACATGAACAAAATGGATTACAAACGCATTGTATCATTTATGAAATAAACATGCATTCACTAGTTAAGGTCAAAGGCAGTGTGTGAAGGTGCTAATTCATCTGCTATATTTTATCAACTGATCACCTTGTTTAGAAGAGAGGAGTTCATATGAAAAGTGAGCTTTGACTGACAGGGCACTCCTACGTTGCTGGTAAACAAGTCTGAAGTTTCTCCAGGTTGACGTAAAACAGTTTTGGTAAGTTGTGCGTGTAAAATGAAAACAGAAATCAGTGAGATGCGTTTCCCTCTTGGATCATGCATGTGCAAAAGTGAAACAAGACACCATGGTGATCTCATTCACACGGGAAGTCCTGCTGTCATGTTGCGCCCTCTAGCGTCTGATGTGAGATCTGCATCGTGTCAATGCACTTCTGCATCTCCGACAGAGGCGGGAGGACTTTCTCTCCTTTTGACTGCAGCTGAAAATTCTCTATGAGTTCCTGCAGCAAAACAGAAGCATGCAAACAATGGAGGAAAATTAGAGGACAAAACTTCCAGCAAAAAAAGCTAAGAAACATTTAACGCCTCACCGCTGGCAAGGTCGAGTCTGTCAGTTTTATCCAATGAGAAATGACCTCTTCCTCACTCAAGATTCCTTTGTCAACCAGCTTTCGAACAAGTAACAGGTAGTTGGTCCTCTGAAAAAGCAGAAAAGTGCATAACCAAGTGTTAAAAAAATGGTCAAATGTAGCACACTGAATACTGTGGAAAGGTTATGAAGAATACCAATGAAACGAGGTTATGTCTGATGCATTAGCTACATATTACACCCCTCCTCTAGTCTTCATGTGTTTTAGTTTATTCACAGAAGATTCATTAGAAGCGTTTCAGCTCAAGTTTAATAAAATGTGACTTTTACTGAGAAGTGTTTGAAGGTAGTGAGGAAAAAACAACAAGCAGCATGGTTATACACCTGTATTAGCGGTAGCAGCGGTGTGGTACAAACCTCCGTGTTGCCGGCCTTCAGCACAGCAGTGATGGTGAGAGGGGTGAAGAGCTGATGAAGAGGGGAGGACAAACGGCAGTCTCTTCCCCACAGCTCTGCAAGCTGCTCCAGTAGTTCTGACATGGGAGGCTCTGACCCTGAGCCGCTATCGACAACGACCCCGCCATGTTCGCTGCGCAGCGACAAACAACGCACGGGCAGCTCTCCAGACACTGAAGAGACAAACAACAATCAGGCCTGAGATTAAAAAGAATTGTGGAAGAAAAATAACACATAAAACATGTTTTTTTGTACCAATTACTGGGATTACTCCTTTCATAAAAGATTAATGATCAGACTGCCTCCTACCCAGTTTGCAGGCCAGTAGCACGGTGCAGTTCAGAAGCATCTGTTCAGATGTAGATGTCAGGAACTAAATACAGATTAAAAAAAAGGAGTAGAGTGTGATCCATGCAGACAAAAATCAATAAGTCCAGCACAGGTGTTTGTTTGATGTACTCATGTACCTTTCTGCAGGTCAGCGTGTCTCCTACTCCGTGTATAAGAGTTCTAAGGTGAGAGCTAGTCGGCAGCTCGTCATCAGTCCTGGGGCCTACGGCGACGCTCAGCAGCTCCTGCATTAGAAAGAAAATATACACGTTCAAATTTGGCTAAATGTACCGATCATGAACACAAAGATGCAACAATTAAAGTTTAAAACTAAACAGAATATATAAATGTATTCCTAACAGGCTTCTTTTTCAATTAGAAGCTTTTATTTTGAAATTCCAAGGATTGCCCTTCAGTTGCAGCAGCTGAAGTGTACCTTAATCTCAATAAGGATGTCTGAGGGTAGAGGAGAGTTGTGTTTACAGTGAGGAGGGCAGCACATCACTCTTTCACTTCCTTGTTTCTTCTTGGGGGTAGTCGACTCTTCGGGGTGGACCAGTTCAGCCACAACGCCGTCTACGTCTGCAGGATCGGCAGCCGCGGGGCTTCCGAGGACCTTGATCACTCGATCATACTTGCTCCTCCACTCCCGTCTTACAAGAGCTTCACAAAGAAGACAAAGGGTCATCTTAGATGCATGTCCCCAGGAGAGTTCTTACTTTCTAAATGCCTCAGAGATCATGCTGTTACATGATCTCTCCTGTTTGGTGTGTTAACTAGACGAGTCACAGCTCAACTAATTTAGGTCCTCCAAAATACCAGTTTAATTTTGTACAGGTGGCTAATGTGATCAAAGAAGGACTGGGTTTATTTACAGGTATGTGTAATTTATCTTCATCCTTCTTAAATGTAGTAAAAAGGGAACCAGCTCTGTGACGGTGAAGCCATCAAACCTGCTCCTTAGCTGAGTCTTTATCTCACTACCTGTTATGTTGGCAGAGAGCCAGCCACACGCCTTTTCTGCAGCAAGACGTTTGGTGATGTTTTCAGACGTAGTCAGCACCTGGAAAATATTTCAAAAACATTTATTATTGAGTAAAAACCTGCATTGTGTGAATTGTTTCCTAGTTTGAAGTGGCTTTTGTTTACTTTCAAAGGGACTTTAGTCCTGAACTTACCGTGGGTGTCGTCTCATCGGGGAGCAGCACACGTATGGCTTCAGGGCTCTTCTCATCGCAATATCTACAAACAAGCCAGAAATGATCACATAAGTAACCACGTCAATCAGCAGCCATTCTGTTGGATGCAAGTTACAAAATCTGTCACAAAGATCTTACAATTCTCTTATTTATTTTGATTCAAATGAACAGAAGAATAAAAGGAACCCCGTACTTGGTGGCTTTCGCCAGGGCCTCCAAACCGGCTTCACACAGCCGAGCACAGATGGATTCATTCAGCATTGAGGCATTTGAGTTTGGCGACTCCAGACCATCCCTTAGCATCTTCTCTCCTCGCTCCACCAGCTCTCGTACCAACGTAGCTCTGTCAAAAGTCACCCACATAAAGAAGAGACCCTCGCAAACTAAAGCACCCTCATTTCATCTTTGTTAAATGGATATTTCAGCCGTTTTTCTGTGTAAAACTAAAAAATAATCGCATTCTTACCACCTGTAGAAAGCTTCCCGACTAGTGAGCAAGCTGCTAGCTTGAATGTAGCCAAAACCACAGGCGTACCACCGCTGCCGTAACTCAGCCAATCTCCAAACGCAGCAACATTATTCTATTAATCTTTATCCCAGATGTGTAAGTGCCACATAACGTCTGAGAAGCTGACGGGTGCCTTTCTACCACCCGCAACGTGGCCCATTTTGGGCGTGTCCCAGAAGCCTGGTGACTCGTCACCCCTAAATGTACACTTCGAGTCTTTTCCTCTACGCTTCCAGAACACATCAAGATAAACGGCTCAGGTCGAGCTGGACAGGACGTCAAACACATGAGCAGTGTAAGGCATCCTGCAACTTTCAAAGTAAAAGACGTGCAGATTTCCAGTTGCTTAACTAGTAAAATATGTCATTACCTGTGTTGCCTCTACAGTTGAAGTAAACAGAACAGAAAATCAACCACAGCCCTTTTGGATAGACGCTGCCCTCTTTCTCGTTGCTAGTCATCATGTGAACTGGTGAAATCACACGTGATCTTAAAATTCTCTTGATTTCATGACCTCATGGAACCAGCTGTGTGGAACGCTTTGCTGCATTAAACACTCCCGAGTGGGAAGGGACATGCTGCTGAGCTTAGAAAATGCTCCTATTACGTTACTCACACTTAAGCCGGGGTTAGACGGCTGTTAGTTTTTCATGGATTTACATGGAAGTCTGCAGCACTTTGGGTGCATCCCGGAGTCAAATCCAGTAGGGATTTTTAATGATTCCTGATGCTTTGGACCAACGCGCTGGTATTTGAGGAGAAACATGAGAAGTTCTTGTAGGACTCAAGTCATGGCAAGAAGTGGTACATTTTCTATAAGCTGGTGATATTTCTGTAAATAATCATATAATGCGCATTTGACAGGGGTCTAAAATGTTGGAAATCATCTATACACCCACTTCTCCTCCAGCTTCACTGGCTGCCAGTCAACTTCAGGGTAATTTCAAGATCCTGGTTCTGGTCTATAGGGCCTTACATAGACAAGCACCATCTTACATTGGTGATCTTCTTAGTCCCTGCACCCCCAGCAGGTCCCTGAGGTCCAGTGACCAAAGCCTACTGGTTGTGCAGCACCAGGCTAAAGATCAAAGGTGACAGATCATTTGCTGCTGTGGCCACCAGACTCTGGGGCTCTCTCCCCCTGAGCCTGAGATCAGTGGACTCAGTGGTCTCCTTCAAAAACCAGCTGAAGACTCACTTGTTCAAGCTGGCTTTTGTATGGCCTTCTTTACCATTCTCTCTTTATTCTGCTCTCCCCACCTATTCCACCTTCCTCAGGATCCACTGATTTCCCTCTTTCCTAGTCACTCTCTCTTTCTTAACATTTTTTTAATCACAATTGTCTCTTTTTGCTCATTTTAAATATATTTTTAAACATTCTCTAAATGCTTTTTTATATTTTTACATTTTTTGTTTTTGTGAAGCGCCTCGTGATTTTTATCTTGAGAGGCGCTATAGAAATTATATTTTCTTCTTATTATTCTTCTTCTATTTCTCCAAACTGAGGCCATTCAGTAAAGATAATGTAGCAACTGTTTATCACCTAAACTCACCTGAGAATGGCTGAAATATCCCTTTAACTGCTCATGTGAAAGCCTTACAGTATTAAATACTAACATGGATCCAACATAAATCACAACTATAACATCAATCAGTGATTTAAATATCTATAAGTCATCCCTGCTGGCGGGTTTAGATCCCCGGGAATCACACTCATCCTCCCATGATGCTAACTTCATGTGCTTGACGGCGTTGGATCCAACCCTCTCGGCTACAAACTCCACCGTGCGGCGCAACGACGGCGGCTGGTTGTGAAAGAAGGCTTGCTCCAGATCCACCTGTCACAGTGAACAGCCTTGTTCAGACACTCCCATGTGGGCAGTTTAAAGTCCTTCCCACTCAGAACGTGCCGTTAGCTCACCTGTAGTTTCTGCTGCGATCTCATGGCGGTTGGCGTGTCTTTGAGCTCAGCAGAAGTGGGGGTGATTTTACGAATAATTCCTCCACTTCTGGCTGTGCTGCCGGACACAAAAGCAGCCAGCAGCTTACGAAACTCACCTGAACAGACAGAAACGAGGCAGAGAGCATTAATCCCCAGCTTTAATTGGACCATCTAACTCTCTCTTGGCTTGTTTGTGGAGAGAATACACACACACCAAATACAGATTCAGACCCCCCCCCCCTAAAATGCACATGTAAAAAACACACAAGGTGACCTTTACCAAGGAAATATATGAACCTCTACTCACCAAGAAATGGACAACACGTGTAAAGAAGTCGCTGATCCACCAGAGGAATGCAGTCCTGCAAGTTCATGAAGAAGCATTCACATAAAAACAACAGAGTTACAATTTTTAGGCTAAAACCTGCAGGAAAAAACAAAAATGCTCACAAGTCCTGCAGAACCGGTGACACCATCCGCCTCCCTGATGGCTGCAGTGAACTCACAGGTGAGGAAAATATCCTCAGGAATCACTGGAATCTTAGAAACATAAAAAACACGTTAGCAAGACACAAATCAACCCCACACCTGACAAACACGCGTGTCCCGCCTTACCTGGAACAGCCACCCTAAAACAGACACCAGCAGAAGCTTGTTCAGGTAACACATTTCCTCACTTCTGTTCAGCTGCAGCTTCCTGCAAACAACAAGGCCACTATTTAAAATGTAATTTACCAAAAGTAATCCTTAGGCCTAGTCCACACGTAGCCATTTTTTTTAAACGAATATCCGCCCCTCCAAAAACTTGCATCCACACCACCTCGTTTAAAAAAAAAAAAACTCTGTCCACACGTACCCGGATAAATACGTTGTTAAGGACATGCCAGACCTGTAGGCGGCAGTACTTCCCCCATTCTTAACCTCGTCCTTCATCTGTGGTCTTCCGCAAGGAGCAGTAATTCCGCTTGCAAAACAAACAAGCAAAAAGCGCTTGGACAATTGATAAAGCGAGCGCAGCTCTGAGGGCATCCATGCTGTCGGCTAGTGTAAACACAGGTCGCACACGTGATGTCAGCATTTTTTTGTCGCGGAAAGTGACGTTGCGGACCTTAGAACTCCGGTTTTGTCTGTCCACACGCAGACACCCAAAACGGAGAAAACGCAGATCTTCACTTTGGCCGGAGTTTTTAAAAAGATCCGTTTTCGTGTGAAAAAACTCCGTTTTCGTGTGGATGACAGGCCAAAACGTAGAAAAATATCTTCGTTTTGGCAGATCCCCGGCTACGTGTGGACAGGGCCTTAGAGAACGTTCTCCTTAACTATCTAGTAAAATTACGATTCATGTCTACGTGTAATGAGTAAAGATTAGAATAGACAGCTCTGAACATGTACAAATCAGCAGAGTCAAACCTGTAGAGGAGAAGCAGAGAACCCAGAGTGGTCCGGTAGCAGAGCAGCAGCGGCCCGATGAAGTCCAGCATGGAGAGGAACTCCACCAGCCAGGGCACCGTCAAGATGGTGCGCTTCCTCCTTATGCTGTTATTCAACACAGCGCACACATCCAGCACCGGAAGGCTCTGCAGAGCCAAGGAAAATCACAACTATGATGAAACAGTTGAGTGCGGGGAAACCCAGATGAACACATTAGCGTTGCCTTCGTGCCGTCAAGTTTTGTTTGGCGATGAGTTTGCCGTCACCTTGCTGCGCAGAGCTACGGACGTCTCCTGAATATCTCTGGATGGCCTCCCAGAGGTTTGATAGGGGAAAAAGGAGATGAATCCCAGGAATTTTGCAAGAAGACGAGCCAGGAGAAGCACCGAGGAGAACCGCTGCTTCTCATCCTGAAAATCAGATGAATTATTGTGATAACAGCATTCCCGTGATTCCAGGGTTTACCAGAGCTGCTCGTGAACATCCTACCTGCTGCTCCATGTCTCCATCTTCCTCCTCCTCCTCTTCCTCTCCATCCCCGATGGGAGCAGCAGGACTCAGTATGGAGACCTCATCCAGCTGGAGGAGCTGCTGACACAAGCTGTCCTGTAGATGCTGGTTCAGCTGGCAACTGGTTCGCAAATAAGGAAAACGGATCGGAACATTTTTGCTGAAGAGAAATGGTTCTGTTGTTTTCAGGCTGAACAAAGTTCATCCGTTCTGACTCGGTTAAGAGAGGAAGTCAGGATTCATCTCGACGTACAGCTAGTTTTTATCTAACGTGCCAAGTCTTTAATCATTTATTTACATTTAGTTATTTAAAAGATTGTCTCACCAGCTAGCTGTTTGTATAAAGTCTCTGAAGAACTCTTGGTGACCAGGAAAAGACGGAGGAGGACAGGGACCGACGACTCCGTGAGGCTGAATGAGTCGCTCTTCCAGACGCTTGAGGCGACCCAGGCTGTCAGCTCCCAGCATGCCGAGCAAGTCGGCGTCGGCCGCATCTACGGAAGAGCTGCTCGGACGGGGGCCTTTACACACCTGGGAGGGGAGGGGATAAAAATCATGAACATTGCTTTTTAAAAAGAGGAATGTCGTGTAGCGGAGGTTAAACTGCTAATGAGACGAACGTTTACCTGAACAAGCTGCTTCAAAAACAGGCGGGCAAAATGGGAATGATTTCCTGCAGAGGTCAGCTGACTCATCATTCCTCTGAGGGGTAAAAAACAAACAGAATATTTAAAATTATACATTAAAAACTCCAGAATCTCATAGCTTCAGATTTCTCAATCATCAGGTCAGTTTGACGCTTAAATAAAGTTTTTTTTAACAGGATTGTGTATTAAATGTGCCAATTCTAACTATATATGGGATGATTAAATGTTTTTAAGACTTTGTTGGACGTCTGAAGACAGGAAATATTGCTAAGTTACTCAGAAAATAACATAAATTACCTTTATAATTAGATGTAAAAATTAAATAAAATTAAAAACTAATTGCACTTGCCTGATTCTGCCTCCAAGTGCAGCATCAAAGCTCCAGCCTGGCTCTTTGTGAAGGTCCTCCCATTCTCGCAACACCTCGTAAAAAACATCTCTAAAAGGAGAAGCATGAACACGGCAAACACAGGGGAGAGCAGGATTTAGATTAACACGCATTAAGATTCATTTTAATTAAAAACAATTAAATGATTTAATCCCTAATGTAAATGTACTCGTTCTTTTGTTGTCTTGTAACTTACTGAATATCTTTGCTTGTATTTTTTTTTCTTTTATCCAAAAATTAACTCATCAAAACTAAATTAAATGTTTTTGTTTGCATTTCTAACGTGTGGAGATTTTAAAGCGGAGTTTAAAACACACCTTTGCTTCTTAAAGGTGTGGAAGGCCTTGTCACTGAAAAAGTTAGAACGGTTGTCAGTAGCAGGCTGGAACGGGACTGAGTGAATGAACGTGGATGCTGAAGGAGACAGCTGGAACAGAAACGTTACAGAATCAAGTGTTAGGAGCATCGATTAGTGCACGTGGATAAACGTAGCAGCTGTGCTGTTCAGGTGTGTTCTACCTTGGCTGTGCTTCTGTCCTGAGCCTGAGTGAGACGGTCCCTCAGATCCGGAGAGAAACAAGCCACTCGTTCATTCTCCGCCAGCAGACGCAACGTGCACTTGTCCAAATGAGCGATCAGCCTACCAAGTTTGAAAAACAACCAGTTACGAATCATCAATGGTTTTAATCTGTAAGAGAATTTAAGGTACGTTTTTAAAAAGCACCCACTGAAACTGATTCTCCAAGACCTTCACAGCAAAATAGACACAATTGTGCACCTGTCTCAGGTAACACCTTTCTAGAACCTCTGTATTTGCTGCACACAAGCTTTTCTGCTCTTCGTTGTCGTGTGTGTGATGAGCCCAAGACGTTAGCAGCTGCATCACAAAGAAGAGCTCCAGGAAAATGTTTGGCACCAAGTTTTCTGCGAGAAATTAAAACATTTTAAAATGACCTTTCTGCAGGATTTATTTGTTACTACTGAGCTTGATATGAACACCAGCAGCACCACCTGGTGGCCATTTACCAGAAATGCAGGTGCAGTACAGTTCGACCAGAACATCCAGCTCTGAGGAGAACGTGACTTTCGAAGGTTCGGGAGATGTCGGCATGTCTGACGTCACTTTAGATCCTGTTCTAGCACCGGTCTTGGTGGGGGTGCAGGGGTCCAGAGCGGACAGCAGAGGAGAGGCCACCTGCTGGGCTCGCTTTGTCCTACAAGTAGGAAATTAACATTACGCTTTACACTTTCTTTAGTCACTGTCTAATAAACACATTTTGAAATCCAGAAGCCCAGAATAACAACACCCCACTCACTTCTCTCGCTTGAGTAACTCCCGTTCTTCTTTCAGGCGCATAGAACTGCCCGCGGTCATCAATCCGTCACTCGCCTCTGTTTCTAACAGCGGGCTGGAAGCTTTCTGGAACGGGGTGGACGTGAAACACGTTTTTGGTTTAGAGTGTGGGCGATCTCCGCTGACTGGTGTTGGGTTTATTCTTCTTGATGGTTTTGATGTCCTGGAAATCCATAAAGGTTGCCAGGCAAATAAGAAAAAGACATTAAAAAAAAAAACAAATTTGGCTATTTTGATATTATTGTAAACTCACGCGGGGGAGATGGGTGAGGATCCAACAGGAGGGAAGTCCTCCAGGTTATTTAGATTGAGCTGGCCAGCAAACGGAGGGGAAACCTGCTCACCCATCCGGGTGTGCCCTCCTCCTACCCCTCTTGCAGATCTTCTCCCACCAGCCTCCCATCGCCCTGCTTCATTACTGTGAAGATCTCCACGCCCCCCTTCATGTCTCAGCTGACCTCCCACTGCTGTGCTACCACCACCCTTTTTGCGCCCCTTATGAGATTGGTGGTTTGGACTGTTCTCAGGGGGAGAAAACATGTAGTCTCCAAGACTGACTCTCTGGCCGCATCTGCGCTCAGAGCATGGTAGCCTGGGCGATGGAGTCCGTGTTGAAGAAAAGGAGGGGCTACTGAAGGCACTCACACCACTCAAACCTGAAGGACCAGCAGCTTCGGACTCACTTCCTGGTGACACCGAGGGGGCTGGAGAAAACAGCTGCACACGGCTGGCACTCCGAGAACCAGCACCAGAACTCGTAGACCTGCCGGCCAGCTTGTCACTGAAGCCTTGAGTCCTTGCAGCAGGTCTGGGGTGACTAGGGGTCTTAGCTGGAGTGGCAGGTCCATTGGTGAGTACTTGGCTGCTCTGTTCTCTCAGGAAATTTAAGAGGAAAGGGACAAATTCCAGTTTCTGAACTGTAAACTCCGGTTCAGTGAAGGACTGATAATCAGCTCCCTTTTAAAAAAGAAGAAACAACAGTTAGAAACTGGAATATGACAAATACATCCGTTGAGAGATAACAAATTGATCAGATTCTAGATTAAACTGGACGAATTATGCAACGAACTATCTGGATACACAAGTATCGACTGTGGTGGCCTGGGCGCTCCAAGGGGTGTTCTTAGGCGTTGGTGAGGGTTTCCTCCCTCCCTGGGCGCCCTGGGTTGGTGCCTTGGTCGCTGCCGTCGATCAACTACTGCCGAGGCAGATGGCTCACCTGATGGCACGTCATTCATTACCTAACCCATCTGAATTCAGCCTAGTGTTTACTTACGCAGTTTTTTAAGTTTTGTGTGTGTGTGTGCGCGCGCCTGGGAAAAAGGTTGTGGGATGGGGGGTGTGCTGTCATAATAGTTTTTATTTGTGCGGAAGGGATGGAAATATGGGTTATATGGAGTCATTTTAATCTGTAAAGCACTCTGAGCTGCATTTCCTTTTGTATGAAAAGTACTATACAAATAAAGATTGACTGATTGAATAAAAGCTTCAGTTGAAAACGGTGCGTTTTATTTCGCTTACACGAAAAACCAAATCGGAAGTGGCTGATTAAGGTCCACAAGTCTGTCGTGGAGACCATCTGAACCACAGCTAATGTCACCCGTTAGCTTGTTTGCAGCGAAAAGTTTTGTTTACAATCACACAGACGAGCCATGTCATCTCCTAAAACAAGCCACGTTAGGGCCCGCTAGTAAAAACTGCTGCTCTCACATTGAACGTGACTGTTACAGACTTACCTCAACATCCTTCAACCAGCCCAAGACAGTATTGATGTCCACTTTACGCAACATGAGCGATTCCAAAAGAGCCGCCATTCTGTTTAGCGTTTAGGGCGGCTGCGGGACAAGGCAAGGGGCGGGGCAAAGGCAAGCGCATGCGCACTGCGAAAGTTGTGTATTTTCCCCCAAAACTTTATTAAGATCTATCAACATAGACATAAACTCATTTACCCATGTGTTTAGAACTTGGGCTCATAAATCTGCTGGAAAATGCTACATTTGTTCTTATTTGAATTGTTTCTAAACTTTAATGAGGACTTTAGCAGTGCTGCCATTAGTTGTAAATGTAGGTAGTGCCCTTACCAAAAAGTAGTATATGCAAGTGTACTTATTAAAGTGTACTCATTGTAAACTAAAAATAAGAGTGGACTCTTAGTTTACTCTAAGTGTACTTACTTGGAAATATACTTGGTAAAGTTTGTTACTTCTATTTGGTTTATACTAAAAGTACACTAAAAGGCTTGTAATAAGAAGTATACAAAAGTCCAAGTACATTTAGATCATACTTAACCTTTGGACTGATATACTTAAGTAGTAGTATATTAGTAGTACATTTTATTTCACTTATATTAAGTGCAAGATGTATATAATATTGTGTTTGCAAATCCTATCTTACAAGTTTTTGGCAACAGATCAGCTTCTCTAATTTTATGAAACTGTTGTGATTTGTTGTTTCATTTCAGGCAGCAAATCTTTGTGTCAGTGTAAACATAATCAGCAATGCACCGCAGGAACCCTGTCTCATTACTGAGAGTACTATTATCAGTGCCTTTGACTTTTTGATGTTAAGTTAGCTAAACCTCAGGATAAATATAACGTTTTGCTTCTTTGCTTGTGTGTAACTAGAGTGGTGTGTTTGTTGGAAGAAGGACAATCATCAGAATTCCTAAAATCTACTAGTCTATCAGTCTATCATACACGTCATCTTTATCTTCAGAAACTACTGTATGTGTACAATGTTCCAACAGAGACATCTTTTGTCAGTGTGCCCCAGGGTAGCTGTGGCTACACTGTAGCTCGTCCCCACCAGTGTGTGTGTGGGTGAATACATTGCCTTGAGGGGTTGAAGAAGCCTAGAAGGCACTATATCAATTACAGGCCATTTACCATTAATCAAATATAGCCTCTTCCTGACAGTCAGAAATGAACAACTATCGTTCTTTTAATTCGCATTTTCTACTTGGAAAGAAGAGATCCCAAGCATACTGCAAAAGGTCAGCTGTTTAGGCACATCAACGGTCCTTATTCCTTTTCTCACTTGCTTACCAAAATTTAAAGTTCCTAGACTTTTTCTCAGCCCTTTTTGACACAGTTTTTTTTCCCTACAAGTAACTCCAGGGTTTTAGCAATACTAAAAACAACCATCAGGTGTCACTAAGAAGACAGAAAAAACATTCAAACTTTAAAGGTGCATTTTGTAGAAATGAAGTAAAAATTACATCCTGTGGTAAAATTTGGTTACTATAACCACTTTAAACAACTCTGGAGATTTTTGATGGCCATCATCAAATTGCAATTGTTGGCATTGCAGTATTAGCTTGCAGGAAACACGGAAACCCTGCACTCACTGATGGTAAACAGTAGTTACGTCCCACTTCTTTTGTTTTGAAAGGATAAAAACTGACAATCCCCGCTGGAGCCAGCTGGATATGAAACATGTTTCAGTATAACCTTCCTTCCCAAATCATTGAAACATTAGACTCTTTTTGGATTTTCTCACTGTAAACTTCTCACCATGTTCTTACATACTGCACCTTTAAATGGTTCAAACAATGGCCTCAGTAATGAAACCACAAACATGCTAAACCAAAAGCCAAAGGCTTGACACCTTTCATGGCAATTTTAAGGTGAGATAATCCTGTGTTGTGAAATAATTTTTAAACTATTTTCTAATCTGTGTATTTGGGCATCAGTTGTGTGAAGTATTCAGATAATGCTGTTTTGTTTATACAGCTTGATGAATTAGAAGATTCTCTGAGACTTTGCTATCAAATAATCTCACATGTTTGACAACTTAATTTTAAATTTCAACTTTTGCAGTCATAAAAGTAACTGGCATCATCAGAAAATAAAGCTTTAATTCATAATTACTCAAAACGTTCCCTTAACATTACAGCTAGTCTTTATTATTAACCTTTGAAGTTAAAGGTTTTACTCATAACAGATTGAATGTTGTTGCTCAAAAATTTTAAAGTTGAATTAATTTGCATCAATCTGTTTTAGAGGAAAATATTTATAAAATCTTGGTTGACGTGAAAAGAACTGTAATAATTATTTTTATTAAATATTTTTGAGCTTAAATAAAAGCTGATAACGTGTGTTATTTAAGAGTTATGAAAGGGCACAACATCTGCAACAGATAAACTTGGTATCGTCAAGGAAAGTCAAAATGTATTTTTACAGAACATTTCAAAGGCAACCGCCGTTGCCCCAAAATGCTGTACCAAACATTGCATTGATTAATTTGACATAAGTTATACTGCTTAGTTAGGCCTTAAAGGTACAATAAGTATGAATTTTACAGTGAAGTAATCACAGTCTAAAGTCTCTGGTTACACTGAAAGAGATTTCCTTCTCAGCTGGTTGGGTGGAGGCCATAGTCTCTAACATTATGAGAGCCTGCTGGGTAGTGGAGCCTGTGCCAGCTAAGGCAGCAGCACTGGCAAAAAGCTCCAGACTTCTGAACAGTTAGTAAACGGAGCAGCCCAGAAATTATTTCTTGTCCCCCTAAGAATCTAAGACACCCTTTTGTTTCACTCTAATATCTGCTAAAGAAGGCTAGAGTCTAATGTAAATCTAACAATGCTAATGGTGAATTGGCTCTAAAAACAACTCATGCTGCTTTTTTCTATTTCCAAACAACTCAATAATACAGTGAAATATATTTATCTACTCATCAACTTACTGTGTGTGAATCGTCTACACCCATCTGGAATCTTCTGGTGCTGATCAGTAACTGCTAACAGTCAACAAACTCAGAGCTGGAGTCACTCATTTGTTTTGAAACATGGGCTGCAGTACTCAAATTTGACCACATGGTGTTATACGTCATTTATTCTTCATGTGCCTTTAATTTTCAAGTTAAAACTCTGTAAACATAAACAAGTCAGACAATTATGAAAAGCTTTTTGTGTAAGGAATGTGATGACAGGTGACAGAATATTTAGTCTCTTATAGAAAAAATTCTGCCAATCTGCCACCACAACGCAGGGGGGAGCCTTATGGGCTCGACACACGGGAGGCGACAAACGACCGCGATCAGCGAAATTTGTCGCTTTTATTACCTGACACACGGGAGGCGATCCGCGGCAGCGGCCAGCGGCAAAGCCGTCTACGCGTTCTGTTCCATGGCGAAATCGAAACTTCCGTTGTTTTGTTTGGCTGTGTCAGGTTGGAGGGAATTAAGGTTATTTAAGCGGTTCAGAGTTAAATAAGCGGTAGATATGATGTTTCACAAGGTGCTGCTAGAGTTATGTGAAATCTTACTTCTGATTTTACTATATAAAACATAATAATAATCAACTTCTCCTCCATGTTTACTCGGAGATGTACGGAGCATCCTGTCCGCTCATTGGTCAGTGAATGAAACCTCCGTTGATTGGTCCTCGTCCGAGCTACAGCGATGAAAAGTTGAAAATGTTTCAACTTTCTGGGATCGCGTCGCTGGGTCGCCTGTGCACGACACGTGCACGAGCGCAAAATTTCACACGCACGTTTTTCGCGTTTCGCTTAGGAGGAGAGAGACCCGCGATTATCGCTTTGTCGCGCATGTCTCATTGAAAATGAATGGAGGAGAGGCGATGTCACCTCCCGTGTGTCGAGCCCATTATAGGTAATTTATAATTGGTCAGACCGTGGCGGTAATGTAGTGCAATCGTGTCCTTTTTACAAAAGATTACGTAATGGTGGAGTATGGGCGTAGGGAGCATGGGGTGGACTTCCATTTAACTTGGACATAACTTGCTTTTTATTGCAATCAAATCCATGTTTATTATGTTTTTTCGACATACAGTCTCTGGTGATGTGACCTCCAGCTCTAATGGAGAGACTTCTGGCGCTCTGCATCTCTCCAGTTTATCATCTCAGCTGTTTTTTGTTAGTATGAGGATTGCTGCAAAGACACTGACACCCGTCAGTGACTCAATGCAATTTGCTGTATTCCTTATATACAAAACATTCTTCTGATTGGCTTAATGAACTGAAATGTATTGGAATGAATACTTTGCGAAGTATCGAGAGATGACTCTTTTTGTGATTTGGCGCTATATAAATAAAACTGAATTGAATTTAAATGAATTCTGTTAACAAAAGCGTAAGGCCCATGTTTACTTTCATTTTCAATATAGTTGCCGGTGTTATGTCGAGTTCCCCCCGTCGAGATCTGTTTCTTTTCCACCCAGCTGCGAGCTTGAACCATCACACCAACATGGTATGTCTTCTTAAAAGGGCTTTTTGGATAAAATGGTTTCATGAATTAGATTCGGGTTACTATGTTGCATGGAAGGAATAAAATCTACATATAGTTTTATATTTTAACCTTAGCGCTGTTGCCAAGCAGCAAGAAGGTCCTGAGTTTGAATCCGAGCCAGAGGTCTTTTTGCATGGAGTTTGCAGTTTCTCCCATGGGTTCTCTCCAAATTTAAAAGACTTCAAAGAGTTATTTGGGAATGTTTTTATTTATAATTCACACAGCTGAAGGAGAGCTGTATAAAAGATGGATGCTGTTATATGTATATTTGTCTAGTGTGCAGGATTATATACAGAAACATGTGGAATGATTCTGTCGGCATGCAGAATGAGTATTTCTTTCATAACCAGTTTATAAAAATAAAATACAAAATAACTTTTAAACAAAAGGAAAAAAACACTGTACAAAGCATTGCTATGATACAAATGAAAGAATAAACATAAATAATTACAGTTATATACAATGCAAAATTCCAACTCGTTACATTCTTTCTTTGAGACTGTACAGTTACATTTGAAAAACCATAAAATACAAAACACAAAAAATATCAAAATTCAAATTAATGGATGGGAATAAATAATCTCTGTAAAGTTTCTATAAATATTAACAAGTAATCAAATTTTATTACATTAAAAGTGTACAATTAGACACCCAAAACAATTTATTTCCATTTAAAAAAAGACAAAGAAAAGTTACCTTTGGCCTTTGGGAACCAGAAACAACAAACACCAAAATGCTACACAAATGCTGCAGCTACACACACTGTTAATATAAAATAAATAAAAACATGAAGAAATCTGATTATCTTGTAAAACCAGCAGCATTTTTAGTGTTTCTTCCATCCTTAGCATAAGTTATTCTTTAACAATACAGATTTTTTTTTTGTATTTAAATACTAATTTATTTATTTTTTTGCTTTTGTTGGTTGACAGAGAAGGAATTTAAAGATCAGTTGCTGGTAATATGAAAATCTGCTGAGTCATCTGTGTGTGCACATAGTTAAAGCACAACAAAATTAAATCTACCAGGTTTCCATTACTTAGATTATCAATGATCCACTCATACAGAAGTTGGCGAACGATGGGACGAACAGGAATAGTGGAGCGTGTCGTTAAGAGACTAGAGAGAAGAGCCATGAAGGCTCGGTTCAGCCTAACAGACATGGCTCAGTCATCCCTCGCTATGCATGGAGAGGGAAGAGAATAGAATTTAAGGCAGTCGACTGACTGAACGCTGTCTGCCTTTGGGATGAGTCATCAATCTGCAGACTAATCTGCATGAACTGAGGAAAAACAGCAGATATCCACAAAGCAAACACCCTTTCATCTAATCAGTTCCAACCACATCAGAAAAATTGGTCAAATATTCGACTATATTTATTTTGTCTGTGAGCGCAGCAGCGTCTTCAAAGTCAAAACAAACTCTTACGACCTTCAGCCTTTTCTCCTGCTATCCGTAACATTTTGTTCATCGTGCCAAGCAGCTACACGGATCCAGAGGCTGTCACACCCCAGCAACTAATCAGTGGAGGAAGTGCATTCACTTTACTCATTCTACAACTTTAAACAATGGAATGAAATGCTAAATTGTGTGCATTTTTTTACAGCAAATTCTAATAGTTGTGTAAGTTTTATTTTTTATTTTCTGTGTGTGGAAGGAGCAGCTATAAAAGAAGCCGAATGCTGCAGCTGTGGTTCCCAACCTGGGGTCCACGATCCCTCAAGAGGACCCTCACAAGATTAAAGGGTTGTAAGGACTATATATAAAACTTACATTTTTAAAATCTCAATTACACACCCATTAGTATAATTACAACTCTGTTTAAGAGTTAAAACTGCGTATTTCTGTTTAAAGTTTGCAAAGAATCCCTTTTAGTATACGGAGGCAGGAGCTAGGACCATCAAGGGGCCACAATATTTATAGAGGCGCCAAGTATTAGTCCAGCATCTTTACACAAAATATCACGCTAAGAATTATTAAGAATTAAAATTATTAAGAATTAAAAATTGGCTCATTAGTGCCACTAGCGTTTGGACTTGGAATTGCATCCTTCTGTAGTCTGATCATCGTGCAAAGAACAGATGAGTGGGAGGACAGGAGCGTTTCAGGGGGCCAATCAGATTTCAGCAGGGGCCAATAGGGAGACTAAGTCACGCCCATCTACTTCCGGACAATGGGTCCCTGGAAGAACGAAATAAATGAATGCAAGTCAATGGGTCCAAAAGAGCTATTTTCTAATTCCGCTTGTTATGTTCTATGGATTTCACATATGATGTCTGATGTCCAGTGAATTTTAAATAAGCTTTTTGATACCAAGAAAGCATTTATTTTCAAATGGGGGGAAACGCTATTTTAGGTTTTGTGTGAAAATAAGTCCAGGACTGCAAATGTGCTTCACGAAAGTGACGTCATCGAACCAGACACGGAGAAAACAGAGGGGAAATGGCTGTAAGTTCAGCAAACTTTAAATCTTTCCCACAGGAGGAAAGAACCACCGTAAATCTGGCCATTTGGTAAGTAGCAGCTACGCTAGGGGAGAGGAGATTATGTGGTGATGTTACATATGTGATGTGCCGATTTCTAGTTTATAGCCATGCTAACTACGAACTTTTACAAGCTGATAAATCTAAAAGTACGTGACTGACATGGTTGAAACACCCATCATTACTTTTCATTTAAACTGCAGTACAACATATGTGCGATCCAGGATCGGCATGAGCCGACTGGAAAGGGAGGAGACTTAGGCTCCCTACGCCCCTGTGGCCCCATCCCTAGAACCACCAATGTAGGAGTTAGGGTCGGGGCCCTTGGCTTTTCCTGACCCCTAGAAAGGGGTTCTCAAGGAAAAAAGGTAGGGTACCACTGTCCTACAGGATGTTTAACAGGAAATGGTTGTTGAGGAGTTCTTCAGTGCAGCAACATTTTTCTTTGAAAGAATGTAAAGAAAGTAAACTCCACAGCTTTATGCCAGCATTTGTATCTCAAAAATAATACTAACTTGTACGGTAGTCTCATGCCATATCACAACTGAATGTATTGAATTTGGAGTGTTTATTTAGGAGGGCTCTGTGCTACTGACACAACAAATCTGAGTTTATTGTCAGTAGATTTGAACACATTTTAGCCATTTTTGTTAACATCAGTTGGTTATTGCAGCCATCTTGAATTATCTTGGATCATAATCGTTAGCAATAAGCAGCTCTCTGCAAAAATATGATGGGGTGCATCTTAGCTACTTTCACACAGCGTTCAGGATCAACACCAGTAAAATGTACTACATGTTTTCTAAGTTGAGTTACCCATAGATTCTGATTGGATCTTGAATTAAGTTGACTCCAAACATTTATTATTTGTGTTTTACATCCATTGATTTACTTTCTGGACGTTTCATTAGAATCTGTTCTATTGCTCATGAGATATTTCGCTAACAAACAAAGGAATTAACACGCACAAAGAAAGCCTTTTAGTTCTGGATAAAATAAATGCGAACCTGTTTTTAGTCAGGTAAGAGTTTGATAACGTGACCTGTGTGTACACAGGAGAGCTGAAACCCAACAAGTGTCTCCACTTTAACTTTACTCAATTCTGCTCAAAAAGAAAAACAACCACTTGCTACCTTATTTACAATAAAAGGGTTATCATTTAACTGCTGGCAGATGTCTGTTTTTGGCTCTTTTGCTGTAATTTTTTCTATTTTTAACACCAGAGTGAACCCTCAAGCTGGCCAAGTGTAAAGGCACACGATGAGACAAACGCATCATGTTTCAGTCTGCAACACCAACAGGATCCAATAATAATAATAATAATATTCACGTCATTCAGTGTGACTTCAAGATTCGCTCACAGCATCACAGTAGGCACAAAACGGTGCGCACCATCACGCACTCAACATGACTGATTGTACGAAGGGTCACACTGAGCACTCCCTTTAATTAAACACTGAAAGCTGCTCTGAGGGACGCCAGATCACACACAGAAGAAGCAGGAGCCAGAAGCATAGCAAACAAAGCATCTAAATAATTACCTTTAAAAAACGATTAATTTAGCAGAGATAAAAACCCCATACCCTGCTCGCACCCTCCTAAATGAGAGGAGATAATGTAGTCAACATTGTGAACATTATTTCACTGAGCTGGAATCAGAAATTCCCAAGTGCATTTATAGTAGGGCTAAAAAATTAAGATTACTATGGGTTTATGTGTCCAATGGTGCAATCAGTTGCTTTTTAGGTGTAATATTTCTGCCTGCAACATGAAAAAAAATCACTTTTACTCATTTTTTCTTGTGTCTACACCGGAGGTGTCAAACTCATTTTAACTCAGGGGCCACATTGAGGGAAATCTAGTCCCAAGTGGGCCAGACCTGTAAATTAAAAACAACTTCAGATTGTTTTCTTTGTTTTAATACAATCAATATAAAACAAAGCTGGAGCCTGAGGACAGTGTATCCAAAATAGTACAAGTACAACTCCTGAAGTGTACTTGAAATTTTAAAAAATAAAAAATCTATAAATTAAAAAAAAAACATTCCTTAGTGATTCAAAGAGCTTACAGATCACATGGCTAGATCAGTTTCATGCATCACTTAAAGTATATTTGACTCATTTTACTTTACATCTTTTAGCTTTCACCAGCACATCAATATTAGAAGTCACATCCTGAGTGGCAGCCAACTTCAGGATGTGATTCAAGTTCTTGTGTGAGCCTTGAGCACAGCTTTGTTTTATTTATACTCATTACAGAGGAAACTTGCTCACAATGATAAGTTTATTTTCACTCTACATTGTAAAGTATGAAAATAAAGTTTACACAACCATCTCGTGGGCCGGATTTAACCCGCATGCGGGCCGGATCCGGCCCGCGGGCCGTATGTTTGACACCCCTGGTCTACACAGTGAGAGATATTCCATGAGGATGTCGAAAAGGCCACATTGCCTGCCTGATAAATTATTATAATGGCTGAAGTGTCTAATTTTACCCATAAGGCTCAGTTTGTTTATCCAGCATCCTCATACAAACTGTGAAGAAATGAAATTCTTATTTTTTTTTCACGAGAAAGTGAATAAAACTCAAATTCAAATTTGGAGCTTGTTTTACTTTAAATTTTGTGTTTGCACAACTTTAATCAGCTGAATTAATAATAATAATGAATAAAAAAAATAAAACCCTTTGTGCAAATGAAAAACAAAGAGAATATTAGGAAGAGTTTCTGCCAGCGAAGGGAACCTAATTATTTCTCTACTAGAACAGGAAGACTCGGGCCTTATCTTTTCTGTTGTCTATTCTATCATCTCTGGAACCTCCCTCTCCTCTGCTGCTGCACCACAGCCTGGTGGGCAGCTATCTGCTCAGCTTGCTGGAGCACTTTTCCTCTCGGCTGCAGCCCTTTCCCCTGGACAGGTGGAGGGGACCTGTGCGAGCCTGTCGGCTGCAGCACGTCTCCTGGTGGTGGAGGTAGAAACGGCGGGGAGGAGGGGAGCCAGAGAAGCTGGGAGGTGAGTGGCTGCGGCCCAAGCAAATCCCTCCCCCGCCACCGCGGTGCTCGAGGCGGGAGGGCGAGGAGCTGACGGAGCGTTGCAAAGAGGAGGAGCTGCGTGGCGAGGCGCTGGAGCTGCGGTGGTGATGATGATGTGGAGAGCTCGCCAGGCTGCAGACACCCATCCTGGAGCTGCCGTGCTGCACAGAGGAACGATGGTGAAGGGAGGAGCTGCGGGAGCCTTGCATCAGCTGTGTGAGGCATGACAGCAGGTCTGAGTCACTGTTGCTGCCAGCACGGATGCGGTAACGCCTGAGCCTACATGTGCGCAAAACAAACAGCAGATTGGTTACTGGATTCAACAGAACTATATTCCTGTAACCCAAAAAGGGACGAGTTGAGCCGTAATGTGTTACCTGCCCTCCACTGTGGAACGACTCGGGGGTTTTCCGGGGGGTGGGCGTGGCAGGAACTGGGCCGTCAGCTGCTCTGCAGAGGGGGCAGAATGAACCGGTCGAGGGATCCTGCTCTTGCGAGACAGAGGACTGGAGGAGGAGGACAGAGATGGAGCCTCATCTCCCTGGCGGTCAGAACGGGAGCCTATGAGAGAGTCCTCATCCTGTGAGCGGTCAGAAGTGGAGGACGGTGGATCTCTAATGAGAGAGGCAACAATGGGGCCTCGCCTGTCAGAGAGGGAGGGAGAGGCAGTGGGAGAAGGAACTGAGCCATGGTGGCTAGCTCTTTTCTGCAAGAGTTTCTCCTTGGCAGAGCCTGGAGGAGGGAGCTCCAGCAGGCAGGAGGGCTCAAGAACGGGAATCCGGCTTTGTCTCCGGCTGGGATCTTTACGGGAAGCAATGGGAGAAGAGCTTGGAGCTGGGTCACCAGTCTGCTGTGGGGCCAGATTCCCTTCTCCACCCTTTACCTCCTTCATCTGAGGCTCTGTGGCACATGGAGAGGGGCTAGAATCATTGTCCGGGTCTTTTAGCTTCTGGAGAGCGGTGTTAGTTTGGCTGTTAACGGGAGATGAGAGACGACCACTGGTGAGCACGGGGCTGCGGGGAGAGTGTGGAGAGGAGGGTGAGCGTAGAGGAAGCGAGTGCACTGAACGGGGAGAGCGTGGTGATGATGCGCGGCTTGGCACAGGGCTTTGAGCTTTGGTGTGGCTGTCTCTGTTAACTAGAGTCTCAGCCAGGGGGTCGGTTGGTGTCCCCGGGCGGGTGGGCACATGGTCCTGGGGGGAACTGGTGTCTGCTGTGTGCTCTTTGATCTGTTGAGCCACAGTTTCAGCTTCACCACGCCTCTCCAGCAGGAGGCACTGTGGAGCGCTGTCTGATGCTGATTGAGAGGACAGCCCAGAGGGACGCTGAGCCGTCAGCTGTAGGAAAGGAGAGGTGGACAGGAAGAGAAAGACAAGCGGATGTTAGTCCAACAAAACCAACACTAAATCTGGGAGTAAAATTCCTAGAATTAAAAGGTCTGTTGCTGGGAGACCACAGCATGTGGAGTTGTGCTGTAGATCAGCAGCAAGAGCCAGATGCAGATGTGTAAACAGAGAGGAATTTGATTGTATGTGGTAATAAATGGTGATTAGTTTGGCGACAGCATGCAGTAACCATAGCTACCATTATCAGACCAAAACACACAAGTGCTATGGCAGTGTCAGTCAAGCTGTGAGTACTAAACCAGCGGGTAGGACAGGAAACGATCACGCAACTTCGCAGGGGGCTTCAGCGAAGAGAGGGTGAGGAACAAATACAGGGAGAGAGAGAGGAAGAGGAAGATAGAGAGGACAAAGACGATCTGAAACAAAAGAGACCATGCAACCTGTAGTCATGACTGGACATTCCAAATACACATGCCACAATCAGACAAAAGACACACCCCTAATCACATGACAGGAACACAAGGACACGTCTGACCCATGCTCTGTCTGGCCTGCACAATGTACTTCATGGTTTTGGGAGAGAGCTGCCTGACAGCAACGCAACAACCAAACAAAAGAGCTAAACCAGGAAAGCAAGAAAAGCAACTAAAAAAAAAGAAAAGAAAAGAAGAAGCTTAATGCAGGTTTCATTTCGTGGGATGGCTTTCAACTCATCACCTGCTGAAGCTGGGCGCGAGTGATGCGAATGACTGAGGGGAACTTTGTGTTGGCAGCACCAGCAGGGATGGCCGGCAGTTTCCTGCGGCCGGGCGAGCAAGTGCCTGGGGAAGGGTTGGGTGGTGGAGAAAGGGACGGGCGTTCCCGCTGCTGCTGGTGGTCGGCCGACTGGCTGCGCCTCAAGCCTGCAGGCTGGCGCTGGTGCAGTGGGTCCGACAGGGTGGTGAGGAGGGTGTGAGGACTGGGAGAGCGCAGAGGGATAGGGCTGGACGTCCGTACCACGACCTCCTCAGGCAGAGATGGAGGAGAGGTGGGGAACTAGGAGAAGGGGAGGAGAAGAAGTGGGAGAAAGAGAGAGGAGGGGTTGTGAGACCGGTGAGGGTGTGCTAAAATGGAGTTGGAGGAACTGTGAATAAAAAAACTGTGTTGCTCTTGCTAGAATTGTGATGGTACATGGAGATCTTGGATGTCTGGGAAGGCTCCTTTTATTTATTGAAGAATGTGATGGGGGACAATTAGTGCTAAAAGTGACTAAATCTATAGATTGATCAGAAACCTTGAACTGGACAAGCGAGAATACTTAAAAAAAAAGAGCAAAGGAGCAACGTAAGCTCAGCAAACCAAAATCTGATTTTGAAATCAAGTAGTGACGTGAAATAAAATAAACACAAATGTCTGCAAAGGAACTATGCATAACTTCTAACACAAATGAAGCTGGACTTTAAAGCCAAAAGCTCTCTTTTCCCATGTTGTAATTGAACTGAAAAGCCTTTAGGTTGTGTCATTTCATTGTGCTAACAACTAGTGAAGAAGCAGGCAAACACAAAGCAGTAACATTTACCTTCAAACTACAGCAAGATGCAGCTGGTGGAACTCGGATTGTTTATGATCAAAGCATTGAAGTTCTAGATCTAGAACTCTGACTCTGTGCAGCTTTTTATCTTTATAAAATGCTGACTACAGTCATTATGTTTGCCATGTTGTGGGATGGTCTTCAACACGTGCAGCTTACCTGAGTAAGTATTCCCTCAGCCAGAGCTTCAGCTGGGCTGGTTGGAGTGATAGGTGGCAGAGCACCTACAGGACCCACACTGAGCTCTAATTTGTCCATTTTTGCACTTCCCTTAGAGGACGCCATGCTTTCCTGCTTAGCTTTCCCAGAACCCGGGCTTGGGGAACCCTTTTCCCATCCAGGTGTGTCTTCCTCTGGCTGTAGCACTTCAGGCTCCTCATCCTCCTCTGAAGGGCTGGTTGGAGCTTTGGCTCCAGGTGAGCCGCTGGGCCGCTCCACCATTACCCACTCCCTTGAGTCAACGTCCTGCCTCCCAGAGCTCAAATTAAGGGCCACGAAGCCCCCGCTGCTAGCTGCCCCCGCTCCCTGCTCAAAAGACCCTGGTGATGCTGGCTTTGGAGAAGCATCTCCAGACCGGAACTCCTCATCATAGTGCCAGACCCTGTCTGATTGCTCTCCAGGCACAGCTTGACCCTGAGTTCCTGGGGTAACACCAGCCTCCTTCTCCTGATGCTGGGGGCCAAACTGTTGTTTCCCTGAACTGGAGAAAACAGATGGAACAATCAACAATGGAAAACTCCAAGGAGGAATCAAGGTGTTCATGCGCATACGCTGAAGGTTAGACAAACATACCAGGCATCCGGGAAACGCTCTGAGCTGGGCTTAGAATCCAGGCCCAGCCTCCTCTCTAGCTCCAAACTATGGATATTGCGGAGCTTCCTCATTAAAGGCCCATCACGATCTCCAGGGGCCACCTCTGAGTGCAGTTTGACAGGAGAGCCCAGACTTGGTCCTGCATAAGGACTCTGGTGTCCATGATTACCCTGGTTGCAGTGATCGTCCTCTGTTCCCGTCTGTGGAAGCAAGAACGTTTTGAGTCTAATGACTTCAACCCCAGAAGCCATTTTCTCAATCAAACTCTACAGAGGGAGTGTACCTTCCAGGCGGCCGTCCTGACTCTGTTGCGGTTGCGATCCAGCTCTTCCCAGACGTCAGGCTCCTGGTTGCGATGCTGGGGGAGGGGACAGCACGGCGCTCGCTCTAGAGCAACGTTGTTCTCCACATCGCTGAGCTGCTCGTCTTGCAGGACCTCATCTGTATTCTCCCTCAGCAGGTCACCGGGGATCAAAGAGGCATTCGCCATGCTGCATCCACAAAAAATGTACACTATATTCAAGGCTGCAAAACGAAAACCAGAGCACAGCAGCAGGCAGAGATACTCTAGCATTCAATAAAAGAAATGATGATTGCTGTGTGTGCATTGTACCCCATTTGTGCAGGAGTGAGTCGAGTGTGGTGTTGGGGCGTCGTGGCGCTGACACTGATTGTCGGAGTGCCATCTGTGGTGGTTCGCTCCCAATCATAGGGGTCATTTTCAACAACATTATAGGTTTTCATGCTGTTGTCAAACACTGACATCAGCAGCTGTAGCAGAACGCAAAAATACTTTTTCTGAATTTTAAACCAGGACAAGTCCACAGGAATTACCAGAAAATTAACAGTTTTAAAATGTCTGTTTTCATGCAAGAGAAGTAAAGCTACACCATATCATTACAAATGAAGGCAATAACTTTCTATTTAACATGTTTTTAGACCGCTGTGTCACCTGGTAGTCAGGTTTGGTGTAGTAGTCAAGGCTGAAAATGTGCTCCAAGAACACCCCAAACTCCGCAGGCAGGTGTTTGAGCATTAGACGATGGTCATAGGTGTCCTTGAGCTTCCCAACATGTTCCTGTGTTCAAACAAACAAAAATGTATGTCTTATTTTATCCTCAGAAGAACTGCTTCACTTTTAAATAAACATACTTTGTCTTTAATCTTCCTCCACGGCAACTGTCCAACCAGGAACTCTACCAGCATGTAGAAGAGAGACCACAGGTCATCGTGGCGACCCATCTCCTGCATAATGACATGAACTATCTGTTAATAGTTGTTAATTGGGACAAAAATTCTTACATTTATAGTAAATGCATCTTGGACAGACCTTGTTCTTGTGTGCATTGACGGATGCGTAGCGAACTGTTCCCCTGAACCCTGCGACTGGACGAGGCTGACAAGAAAAAGAAAATCAATTATTGCTTCAAGTTCTTGTAGAAATTAGCTATACTGCAGTGCCAACATTATCTTGTATATAAACAGGAAGTGCAATTTTATTTCTACTGTTATATTTTATGTTATTATCCTCTATAATGGTGATTCAGCTAGCAAAGTCTTTGTTAGCATTACCACTTATAAGAAAAAAAATTGACTGCTGCTTGTGTAAAGTTACTGCTGAGTTAAGTTGTAATATCCATCAGCTACCACTAGGGGGACTGCAGCCACAGCTGTAGATATCTAAGCTACAGTTTACAGAAGAGGGGGCACTTACAGGTCGGACCTCCTGACAGGAGTTGGTGAACTGGCGAGCTAAACCAAAATCCAGCATGTAGCAGGTCCGACAAGTGCTCGGAAAGCGGCCCATGGCGAAGTTGGACTGAAGCAGGGACAGGCAGGAGGTAAAAAGGGAAGTTAGAAAAAGAATATTGGACAAATGTAAATGCAAATCATTTTAATGTGACGTTTGAGATGTTTGAGTGAATGCATGATTTTTATTTGTTGCTCTTGAGTTTTCAGCCTACGCTTATTATGAGCAACTGTAAATCAGCAGCATAGGAATCTAGACAAACCGTAGCAATAGCAAAAGATTTTGCTCTGCAGGTTGGTTTATACACGCTTCTTTGTAACCTCAGCAGGTCTAACACTGGCCCAAAACATTTCAGGTCCAGCCAATCACAGCACTTTTTTTTCTAGAGACATGTTGGGTGGGCTTAGCTCCAGAGCTGCATTAGAAAACAACTACAGACTCAGAGGTGGCGTCGGCTCAGGAAAGGCACTCATTTGAAATGGATTTGGCATCAACCTTGGACAATTAAACTTGGGCTTTGCTGTAAGACGTGCGGATAGATGTACTTAATTAATTAAATTAAACATTGTGTTCTTTTTTTCTCAGCCTTGCATGGCGGACTGCCCCACTGATTGCTTCACATAGCTGTCCAAATGCACGCAGAGACAGTATGAAAGACGACCGTAGACTCTACAAAACATTTCCCCATTTCTACTGTTTAGACAGTGTTGAGAAAGAATGCTGATCAACACACAACACTGTAATGGAGCAGGCGGAGGGAGACTAGGGATCTTAGCACACCTCTGTTGTTGCTTGGCTTCCTGGGGCTGGAGGCTAGGAGGGAGATCTGGCCGTCTGGTTGGGGTCTGGGGTGGTGGGTTGCTGGGCTCGGCGTTGGGTGGAGGAGCCTGCTCATCAGCACCCCAGCAGAAAGGGTCACACTCTGGGAACCGGTGATGGTTGTACCCAGTGTGCAGCAGTACCGGGACCAGAGTGAATAGGGTGTGTATGGGGAGCATGAGTGGGTGTCCGGCATGCATTTTTGTAAGTCTTTGGTTGTATGTTTATGTGTGAGCATGAGGGAGGGAGTGTGTGACTGTGTTTGTGTATGACTATATATGTCAGGTGGGGCCTTTGACTCCTCCCCTCTCCTGGGACTTCTTTTGATGATATAGATCTTCGTCTCCCCTCCCCCTGCCACAACTGGTGTGGGGTGTGGTGCCTTGGTCTGCCTGAGTGTTCGTGGCTCCCGGGTCAGGGGGTTTAAGATCTTTGGCGCCTGCCTGGTCAATCCCGGTGGCTGCCTGGTGGGGTCTGGGTCCCTGGGCTCCGCTGGGTCCTTAGCGGGGGTGGTCGCCCCTGGGTCCCGGGTCGCTGGGTCCCGGGCTCGGCCGGCTAGGGGGTGGGAGGCGGCGGGCGGGCCTGTGGGCTTGCCGCTGATATCTCCCGGGGCTCTGCCGGCTGCTGGTTGTGGCCCCCCGGGGCGATCCTCTGCGCCTCTCGAGGGGGGCGGGGGGCCTTTCTGGTTGCAGTCCTCTTGGGGTTCCTGTATTCTGGGGCAGTGCCTGGATCTCTGGGACTTGGAGCTCCCCCCGTCTCCTACGCATCTTTGGGGGCAGATCTGTGGTCCCTCACACTCTCTATTGGACGCTCCTATAGAGAAAACTTACATAAACAAGCGCGTGTACACACACAGGTGCTCACATGGTGCTCTCAAAAGTAGGGGCTTGGGCACGTTCAACACTTGTCTCAAGGCTGTCGTTGCCACTAAATGCACTGTGATTTATTATCGCGTGATTGTTCAGTTAAACAATGTTGATTTTATATTTCATCATCAGGTTAACACAGTGATAGCTTGCTTCTGATGTATTGTTGTGTGTCCCATTTTTTTTCTGCTCTTCTCTTTCTGCAGGTCTAGAAGCAGACTCTTGTTCATTATTGTTTATTTTTGTGGAACCCCCCCCCCCCCCCCCCCCCCCCCCCCCCCCTTCCCACCTTTTGTCTTTTCCTTTCTCTTTCACCTCTGTCTCCGTGTCTGGTCGGAATTACAAAGCATTCAAAAACAATAACAATAAAATTTGAAGTATCAGGCGTGACATTTAAAGCAGACGCTTTAATGCTCCACCTGAGAATAAATCTGTAAGGCTTGTCACCAGCATTCAGACATCAATTCTGCTTGCTTCACAGCCAGACAGGACACGTTTAAAAAAAAATGAGAAAGAATGCTGATAACAGGGTCATAAAGCAGACCCTGATCTCTGTAACACACCGGTTTGATGTCACGATGAAGGAAGCAGACAGAGTGAATGCTCTCTATGGCTTCCAGGATCTGGCGCCCCAAACGCAGGGTGGTGCTGATGCTGAATGTTCCCCTAGGCATACTTCTCCTCAGATCCGCCAGGTTTCGACCCTGAAACACCGTGCAAAAAATCTGTTAGCCTAACTCCCATGACAAGTCTTTTTCTTACCGACTGACAATTTCTGACAGCCAGATATGTTGAGTTTGCAGAAAACAATCTGCACAGCAGCTATATTTAAACACAGCTGGGAGCTGCTTGTGTAGCTACTGATACAAATGAAGAACTCCTGGCAACACCACACAATCACAACACTCAGAAAAGCAGAGTTGTCAGTGAATTCTGGGATTTTTAATTGAACAGCCTTTCATTCAAGAAAAGTTTATTTGTTGGAAAAAAAAATTCTTGTTTAACTTGGAAGATGTTGAGCCTTTCTTCCAAGAAGCTTTTTCAATTTTGAAACTTGGGTTGGGAGTAGGAGGCTTATAAGGTGTGGTCTGAAACAAACTTTCTGATAGGAGTCACAGGGTCACATGACTCCCTGGCCCCTCCTATTTAGCTCCCTCTTTTGTGTCGTTGGTGCTGATGATCTTATGTGAAACATCCAAGAAAATCCAACTTCGAACAACCTTGAGTTTTACCTTTCCAACACCTACACCTCGACTTGTCTCCCCCAAGCAATTAAACCGAAACTCACACATTGTGACATGTGACAACAACAGTGAACAGGTGGACGTTGTTGGAGACCCATTAGGCACCAGACACAAACAGCCAGCTGAATAGAGGGACTTATATGACCTTGATGGCCTCATTAGTAAAAACAAAAGCCTAATCAGCGGCTCCTGTTACCGTCAGCCCCGACCACCAGAGGTGTGACCAAGTCACTGCCTTGAAAGTCACAAGTAAGTCACAAGTCTTTCCAGTCAAGTCTCGAGTCAAGTCCAAGTCAAAGACAATCATGTCAAGTCAAGTCCAAGTCCTTAACTTTGAAATTTCAAGTCACAATCAAGTCATCCGTCCAACCTCAATTTAATGACAACGATAATAAATAAATTCCAGAAATAAAGCTTCTTAAAGCTTCATTCATTTGCTCGAACAAGCAGAAAGTGCAACTGAAACTGATTATAAAAATGTGCTGCTGCATTTAGCCGTACAAGATAAAACCCAGAACCAAGAATGATTTATGATTTTTGTCCATGTCGTGCCACTTTTGTGCTAAAATATCAAATATACTCAAGTCATCAAGTCAACAGATGCAAGTCGATTTGAGTCGCAAGTCATTGGCATTCAAGTCCGAGTCAAGTCGTAAGTCTTTATAGATTTTATCAAGTCAAGCCAGAAGTCATTAAAATAATGACTCGAGTCCACACCTCTGCCAACCACACTGTACGTTTTTAGCTGTAGCACAGGGCTGCTCGTGTCACGAGGACTCCAGAAAGGTGGCACACTGTAAGGTCCAACATTTCAATGAGCTAAACTGCATGACGTCTCGCTCAAGCAGGACAAACTCGTGTGATGAGCACACCCTCCGAAAAGCATGCATCACTAAAAGCTGTCAGCTAACCAAAACATGCTGAAAAGAGACAAAATACTGCAGCTAACACTCCCTGAACCAAAAAGGAGTTCCTGCACAAAGCTTCCATTGTTGCAACTGTTGTCACTAGTTGTTCACGTTACTCCCTGGATGTATTTTCATCCATGGGTGTATTTTCATTGGTCAACTGCAGATGGGAGTTGTAGGTTTTCAAGCAGTTGAAGATGCTGAAGGCTGACTTTGGTCTTGAGGATGCTCAATAAGCTGTCGCAGAGCCAGTTACGCTGGATGGCCATAGACTTGCAAATCACCCTCATGTTCACTGGTTTTTTTCACAATGCTATTTTCGACAAGAGATACGACGCTGAAAAACGCACAGTGTGGTCGGTGCTGAAGACACCTACTCCTAATCTAAGTTTCACTTCCTGCATGAAAGACAAAACACCTTCAAGGTAAACAAGACAAGCCCACTTGTTCCAACTAAACCTTCAAGAAAGTGTGAAAATAAGCAAAAATAGATCAAATCTGTAAATACTTATTTGCTGCAGTGCATGTGTCTCAGATGTCTGCACAAAGTCAAACGAAGATCACATCAAAGACTCTGGGACCACGTTAAAGTGAGATAACTTATCAGTCAATAAGATCTCAGATGTACTGACCTGAAGCTCCATCACGACATAGTTGAAGCGGTCGTTGCGGCCGCATCCCACAAAGCGACACACGTGGTCTTTACCTGAGAAGGATAAAACATCTTCAGGATACTTTCAAGGGAGGAGGTCACCCCATTTGATGTCAGCATCATTTATTCGTGTCACCAACTTCCGTTTTATCTGATTTGTAGCCTACAGCCATCAATAGTTCACACGCACACACACACACACACACACACACACACACACACACACACACACACACACACACACACACACACACACACACACACACACACACACACACACACACACACACACACACACACACACACACACCTTAAAGGACACAGCCGTCACACCCTAAAGCCTTTCCAGCACAGCTGCAGGATATTAAACACAAATATTGCGTGCATTTTCTATCATCATCAAATTCTTACTTAAATTTAAGCTACGTTTTGTCCCATCCTGCAGTGAGAATATTATGATCCATTGCATTAGGTCAGCAATGTTTGGGGGGGCAGGGTTTGATTTATCTTGAGTTACAAGCCGGCTCCCTCAGGATGCACAATGCTTTAGGCTAAGGCCATTAGACAGCAAACATGATCCCAGACTATTGATTTCTTCTCAGATAGACAAAAAGGGAAAAGAAAACAGAAAAAAACATGGTGGTAAAAGGGCAGAAAGGAAGCTGGAAATGAAAAAAATATGTTAAAATGAGAGAGAGAGAGGACTGCAAATCATCTAATGAAGTTTTAGATCCTACATATTTGCTGTGAATGAGATTCTGTCTGTTTTTTTAATCTTTACTTGCTTTTCCTGCGTAATATTTGTCTTTTTTCCTCCGATGATTAGGATGCACACATTTGGAGCTGCTCGATACGTCGGTCATTGTGTCAGAGGGCATCGATCGGTTCCAGTAACCAAATCCAGTCCACCCATTTGTACTCACCCTGGAGCTTCTTCAGGACAGCGACCTCCATCTTCAGCACCTGTTTGGGCTGCTGGGCTGACTCTACCTTCAGCGCCACACTGACCCGCGTCAGCAGGTCCTGAGCCTCGTAGATCTCCCCAAACCCACCACCACCGATCTTCTTTACCTGGGAAAAGGAGACAAGACAAGAGGAAGGACTTTAAGCACATCAGCATTAAACGCTGGAGCCAGAAAGCCATCGGGCACTTAATGAATGACTGGGGTTTAAAAAGTGCAGCAAAATAAGAACATAACAGCTTCCAGTTCTCCCATAATAACAACGTGAGAAACAAATCAATCAGTTACTATTACAAAATACTATTTAGCTACAAGGATCAATTAGGCAGATATTGAGCTAAAATCTGGTTGTCAGGTTCTGAGGTGAGGGCCTCCTTCTAACTACAGGTGAGCGGTTCCCTGGAGCGGGACCAGCTGCTGCAGATCTCCCATCTACTCTGCACTGCTTAAAAGGAGGAGTGAGACAACAACACATCGCCGGATGATTACTCAACTGCATTGGTGAAAGTTACAAATGATATTCTCATGGCCTCAGATAAGAATCTTGTGTCTGTTCTAGTCTTGTTAGATCTCAGTGCTGCCTTTGACACAGTTGATCACAATGTTCTTTTAGAAAGGCTTGAACATGTTGTAGGGATCAAAGGAACAGCGTTAGGCTGGTTTAAATCCTACCTGTCTGACAGATTTCATGTTTGTACATGTACATGACAAATCTTCTTTATACTCCAGGGTTACTTGTGGAGTACCACAGGGTTCAGTGCTTGGACCAATTCTTTTTACCATATATATGCTTCCAATTGGTAAAATCATTAGACAGCATGGGATAAACTTCCACTGTTATGCTGATGATACTCAGTTATATCTATCCATTAACCCTGATGAACCTAATCGGTTAGTTAGACTACAGGCTTGTCTTGAAGACATAAAAAATTGGATGACTCAAAGCTTTCTGCTTTTAAATCAAGACAAGACTGAAGTTCTCATCTTTAGACCTGGAATTCAGAAAAGGAAATTGCTTAGTCAATCACCTGACCTGAATGGCATTTAATTAGTCTCAGAGAACAAAGTAAGGAACCTTGATGTTTTCTTTGAACAGGACATGTCATTCAAATCCCACGTTAAACAGGTTCGTAGGATTTTCTTTTTCCACCTTCGGAATATTGCTAAGATTAGATGCATCCTTTCCAGGAGTGATGCTGAAAAACGAGTTCATGCATTTATTACATCAAGACTGGATTACTGTAATTCATTACTCTCAGGAAGTCCACAGAATGTAGTTAAAAGTCTTCAGCTTATCCAAAATTCTCATAAGAATTAAAAAAAGAGAGATCATATCTCTCCTGTCTTAGCTTCCCTACACTGGCTTCCTGTTAAATTCAGAATAGATTATAAGATCCTCCTTCTTACATTTAAGCTCTCAATAATCAATCTCCATCATACATCAGTAATCTGATTGTTCCATACGTTCCTAACCGAGCACTTCGCTCTCAGACTGCAGGTTTACTGGTGGTTCCCAGAATATCTAAAAATAGGATGGGAGGCAGATCTTTTAGCTATCAGGCTCCTCTCTTGTGGAACCAGCTCTCAGCTTTAGTCCGTGAGGCAGACACCTTGTCTACTTTTAAGACTATGATTAAAACATTTTTTGATAGGGTGAGGTTAAAATCTGATGTTAGCCTAGATCTGGGCAAGTCGGGAAGTAGAGGGAGGTGAAGTGTACAGTCGGTAAAGACGGCTCTCCCTTGCCCTGCCTCCAACATGCCTCCATCTAAAAGGCTAGGTTTTCCAGAGTTATCTCTGTAGTTATGCTGCTATAGGCTTAGACTGCTGGAGGACATACTGACCACTTTCCACACTCGACTACTTTCGTCTACAATTTGCTCTTTAGCTGCATTCTTTCCTGCTATTTCAGCTGTTAACTTTATTTTTTCTCTGAGTGTTTTTCTCCCCAGAAGAAGCTACAATCATGTTCTGCTGAGCTGTGGTGCCCTCATGGAGGGGGCCATCGTCTTGAACACTGTTGCTAAACACTTAAACATTCTCCCTCTCCTGATAATAACATTTTATTTTCCTTGACATTGAATGTGTTACTACTAGTTTACCCGTTTAATTATAGATTCACTAGGATAAATACAATAAAGTTTATCTCTCACCAAATAGAATATTTACTAAGAAATCACAATGTAACCATAGAAACACTACTTGGTATATATGTTGAGTGTGTGTGTGTGTGTGTGTGTGTGTGTGTGTGTGTGTGTGTGTGTGTGTGTGTGTGTGTGTGTGTGTGTGTGTGTGTGTGTGTGTGTGTGTGTGTGTGTGTGTGTGTGTGTGTGTGTGTGCTCTGTCTTCTCGATCCCCAGTGAGTCGTGGAGGATGGCTGCTTATACTGAGCCAGGATCCTCTGGAGGTTTCTTCCTGTTAAAAGGGAGTTTTCCTCTCCACTGTCTCCAAATGCTTGCTTAAATGCAGATCATCCCTGTGCTCGACACCATCAAAGCCTTTGATCTAACTATTGATCCTCCTTTTTCAGTAGTCCCAGGTGGCATGACTCCACCTTTCTTTTTGATTCCTCGTGGCATCAAGAAACTCCATTCTACTTTCCTGAAGAGATAATAGTGAAATTTCACATATCCATGAGCTAAATCAAAAAGAAGAGCCTAAGACATCCTCCTGGAGCTTCCAAAACATTCCATACTCACATTAATCCACATCCAGCCTAAACTGTATCTGACGGTTTCTATGTTTTTTTATGTTTGATATTTATGTTCAAAGAGAAGTTTTCTAATAAAGTTTAAAATAAAGTCAACATGTTAAGGTTAGGATGTGAAGCTGATTAATTGCTTAACTTGACCTATCTGTATTACAGTCGTTTACCAGAGATTATCCATCACAATGTGTTTGCTCCAATTTAATAATCCCTAATCTCCCTGCATCTTCTCTGTCCTCCATGCTCAAGAGTTTTGTGCTGCGCCAGAAGCTAAAGTTGTGGGATCAGCTGCAGCACTCTTATGCAACTCAGAAAACAGGACGTGGCGCCAGGCTGCCAGTTAAAGCCTTGCAAGCCCGGCATGGAGAGGGGGACCGACAGAGAATGCTACTGCTGCTTTCTATAGCTCGCCGCACCACCACAAACAGTACAAGGGCTATTTTGGGATTTCCTACACTGCAGCAGCACAACCTGAATGTGTCAAAACCACAGGTGAGAAGTAGAAGCAAAGAGCTGCTTGATGGACAAAGAGTCAGTGTTAGTGGTACAGAGGGTCAGCAAGGGTTAGCAAGGGGCAGGCGGTGACAGAGCTGGGTGAACACACTGCCTATTGTAGCTGAGAAACACGCCACTCACCACTTTCCATCGCTCCTTCACCAGGGAGAGCACACTTAGGATGTCGGCCTGCTCCGCTCCTCCGCTCATCCCGTCTGTGAAATGGGGACAATGTCCTCACTGCTTTCTTTGACCAACGCTCAGCTGGACATCAGGAACCTGATTGAGAACCCTAAAGTTCAAGAGAGACACAAAAGTATTAGAAACTGTGTGGGAAAAGGGTTGAAATAGGACTTAAATTTTCTTGAAGGGACAACACTCAGGAGGTGCGGGTTGTCCAGTAATCGGAGGGCTGCAGGTTCGATCCCGGCTCCCACCAGAGAGTGCTGCTGTTGTGTCCTTGGGCAAGACACATAACCCACCTTGCCTGCTGGTGGTGGTCGGAAGGACCGGTGGCGCCAGTGCTCGACGGGCCTCACCTCTGTTGGTACACCCCAGGGCAGCTGTGGCTACATCGTGTGTGAATGTGTGTGAATGGGTGAATGACTGATTGTGTTGTGAAGCACCTTGGGGGGGTTGCAGAACCATAAGAATATAGGCCATTTAGCTTTTTTTTAAGTTTTTATTTTTTTTTACCCTTTTTTGAAATATGACAGGACAAGGAGAGGAATGTGGCTTCTGATGCATTGAAACAGCAGCTGCCTTTATAGATAAACTCTCCAGCAAAAGTTGGACATCTTAAATTAAAAAAACATTTAATCTAAGTATCATTTCCCCTGGATATTAATCTTCACCGTGTGAAAGGAAAGCAGCAGAACGTACTACAATTAGGCTGTTTCATCTTTACCTCAGCTGTGCTTTCATCATGCTCTGATGAGATTAATGAGTTCATACAAATAAAAATCTATTTAAACAATCTCTGACTTGACTAAATTTAAAGTCCCAATAATTCATCACACACTGGGGAAATTCATCTCCACATTTGGCCCATCTCCGTGGGGAGCGGTGAGCTGCATCTGTGGCTGTGCTCGGGAACTATTTCAAATTCTGATTCAAAAAGACTTTATTAATCCCAGAGGAAAATTCAATTGTTTCAGTACAAACAATTCCAACATCAGACATACATGACAAGAATTGTTGACTGTGGTCATTCGCAACACAAGTCGCGCTACCGTTATGGATCAAGAGGGTTTATTTGAGGATGGAGTCAGGGGGAGGGGAAAAAAGGCACTTCAGAGTACCCTGACAGAGAGGGTAGCTTTGCTATGCAAAAAAAAAAAAAAAACACCTCAGACAGAAATGCACATAGACTTCATACGAAACACAACATAAGTCTCCACTAGGTGGGGATGGAAGGTTCTGGGACTCTCCTCACTTCAGAGTGCGCAGCCGCAGAGCAGCGCTCACCACCTACGTTTGGACAGGGGAGGGAGCTATTTGGTTTAGAGAGCACATTGACTCCTAGATGTGGTTCCACGGCCTTCCCTGGTCACAGCCCCGCCCAGGCTGGGATAGGGAGAAAGAGTTTCCATGGCGACGGCAGCATTCCACATTTCTTCTGAGGGGAGTTTACACTTCAGCCTCACAGGCTTCAATCAATCAATCAATCAATCAATCAATCAATCAATCAATCAATCAAGCAAGCAAGCAATCAATCAAGCAAGCAATCAAGCAAGCAATCAATACTTTATTAATCCCAGAGGGGAATTAGAGTTTCAGTACACACAAATCAAGGGCACCAGATTCAGATAGCAAGAATTGTTTTGGGTACAGGCAGAGATAATTTCCTCTCTGCCTTAGAGTTCTGTCAGTCTTCAACCCCTCCACGTCCAATAATGGCGTTATCAAATTGTTCCATTCCGTGCTGATCCGTCAACTCTCTCCTTGATTGAATCAACCTTCTGTGCCAGAGCCTGAATCTCAGCCAAAGTTCCAAGCTTACGACTCATCTCAACAATTATCTGAGTTTGTGAGTTTACAGCACGATGCATTCCATCCCTGAGCTCCGGGATTAAGCCAATATTCCTCGAAAGCTCATTAATTTTCCGGTATGCCAGGTAACCGCTCAGGCCAAACAGCAGAAATTCCGAGACCAACATGACAAATATACAGACATCTTCAGAATCTCTACTGACAGTTGAGAGAGGCAGATCAAGTTCCACTGTTTCCAGGAGTCCATGATATACCCAGCTGGCTCTGTTCCAGAGGGGCATCCAGGAGCCCCTTCTCCCGTTCTCATCATTGAAAAAGATTTTGTCAATCGTGTTGAAAGACCAACTGACCAGATCCATTTTTAATAATTTCCAGTTTCCAGAAAAAATGCAGAGAAGCGCAGTGCACAGGCAGACAGGACACAAGAGCCTTGGGAAGAGCAGGGAGGGAGAGGAGAAAAAAGCATCTGTACTCTCCAAGAGCCGGAAGCAGAAGGTGGTTTAACCCCCCCAATCCAACTCCTTAAAGCTCAGTGTCAAGCAGGGAGGCGTTGGGTCCCATTGTTAAGGTGTTTGGTATGACCCGACCGGGATTTGAACTCTAATCTCCCAGTCCCAGGATGGAAACTTCCACTAGGCCACTGAGAAGGTCCATCCATCCATTCATCCATTTTCGGCCACTTATCTGGGGTCGGGTCAGGGGCAGTAGCCTAAGCAGGGAGGCCCAGACTTCCCTCTCCCCTGCCACTTGGACCAGCTCCTCCGGGGGAATCCTAAGCAAGCCCCCACAGTGCGGCTCAAAAATTGACTCCAACCCGGAAGTACCAAAATTTGCAGTTCCACCCTCATCCGCTGGGGGCTGGTGTCAGAAGCGAGCAAACCCTCATTGAATCCCATGTTAAAATTATCAATTTCAAAGCAGAAATAAACATGTTTACAGCCTGGTACCAAGACATGTTTTAGGTTTAATAGATCTAGTTTACACTCATGACAACTCTGAGGGGGGGTGAATTTTTTTCTCACTCTTCTGTTTAAGTGTATTAAAAGCCTAAAATTCTGTATAATTAATGAGCATCAGACCCACGTGACCACAGAGCTAGCTCCGTGGAAAGGCCTCAGTAGAGCTTCGGTCTGGCTTGGAAACTGTTCCGGGATTTTGAGTCTCTGTGTTTGTGTATTCTTTTTTGGATATTTTTTGTGCAATTGTTGGACAAAATGACTTGCTGTGGCATTAATTGCACTAATAGAGCGTCCAAGGAGTCTCCATTTCATTTTTTTCGGTAAGTAAAATTATATTTATGTATTTTAGGTCGCTGCCGAGCTGAGCTTAGATTTTAACATGTACTGTTTAACCATGAAATTTAAATGTAATAGGGTAAAACCCAGTGCATTTAACATAATGCTGCACTTTAGAAAATGGGTTGAAATATAACATGTTGGAGGAGCTGGATTCTGACTATCGGCTTGTGGAGCTCTCTGGAGACCAATGTTTTTTCTCCCCTCCCCGCAGCTCGGCACATCTCTGTCTGATCGTGGCTTCTGTCTGCTGCGCGGGCTGCCGGCTTTCAGCAGCTTTCGGGAGACCTCTGTGTTCCACCCGGTTTTACCCAGCGGTCAGTAGGGTTGTCACGGTGTGAAAATTTTACCTCACGGTTATTGTGACCAAAATAATCACGGTTTTCGGTATTATCGCGGTATATTTTTAAACGTGTTACATTTTCAGACAACTAAATAAACCCTGTATATCAGGAAAATATCGTCCTCAGTTTGTGTGAAATTTTGCCTAAAATTTGTTATTTTGTAATTATGTTGTTTATTTGTTTACATTTTTCCCCTTTAGTCTTTAAAATACCAATATTTGCCCATAACTTCATATTTTTTGTCTGTTTGATGTCATCATTTTAAAAATATTAGCTCAGATGATACTCAGTACTCAAGTAGCCTTCTAATCAGATACATTTTTTATGCTTACTTGAGTAATAAACCCTATATCAGGAAAATATTGTCCTCGGTTTGTGTCCTTCCAGTGAGCTTTGCAGATTTGGGAAAATGTCATCAGGCAGTAATCATTGTTAAATTCATAATTATTCTCGGAGAGAGAACAACTCTTATCTGTCCCTGGGAGCCCCGTAATGCATAGCGTCATTTCAACATGGGGGTGTCCGCAATACGCTTTTTACAGCCTGGTACCAAGACATGTACGCTTTATATGCAGGTAGCGGCGCTGCAGCTGCTTTATATAGCGACTCGTTGCATTCTCCCTCAACCCAAATCCTCGGATCACACATTTTAGCTTAAAACGCTAACGTTAGCTTGCCTTGCGTTGACTCTAGAGTTGTGGGTGATGGTCACGCAGATGTGTCATGACATTTGAAGCGTTGCTGCCTTTCACAGACACTTTTTCTGCACGTGCTGCAAACAGGATAGCCGTCTTTTATCAACTGCCCCTCGACATTCTTCAGATATCCAAAAAAATGCCCATACTTCCCACTTTGTCTTCTTTGAGGGATAATAAATGTCCTGAGTACTGCCTTCTCCTCCTTTGGCCATTATTTCAGCTTTAGCTTCAAGAAAGTTTTGGTCGTATACAACAAAGCGCGCAAGTGCCGCCGGCAACTTCAGCAGATGATACGGTGGCTGGTAAGGGTCACCGCGCCTACACCGCAGCCACGGTAATCCACCGAGACAAAACAGTTATTATTATTGTCAACTTTTTTACCGGGGTTTACTGCTACACCGGTTACCGTGACAACCCTAGCGGTCAGCCCGGCGTATTTCTATCTCAGAAGCTCTGGTGTTGTGCACAGTTAACTCCGGTTGTAGCTATGCTGCTACCTCCGTTAGCTTAGCTCCCACCTCCGCGTTAGCTTTGGGTTAGCTTCAGGTTAGCTTGTAGCTAGTTCGACCGGGTGTCGTCAGTTGATCCCAGCCTTACAGCCCCACCCTCAGCTCCACCTCTCTTCCCTTTTGTGGAATTGTCTGGGCTTGACGGAACCTGTGACACGGCCAAAATGGCGGTGGTGGCCACCTCCCATTTAGCCTCAAAAATGTGTTATTGGAGTCTATGGAAACCCATTGTCCAATATTTATATGTCGATGATCCTAAGGCGTTCCCTGACCAGCCGTGAGACAGTTTCTCCAGCGTGTCCTGGGTCTTTCTTTAGGCCTTCTCCTGGTTTGACGTGCCCGGAAAAACTCACCAGATAGGCAACCAGGAGGAAATTATCAAACACATTTGATTTTAATCCAGTCTCGATCTCCAGTCCCGGATGACTGAGCTTTTCACCCAAAGGATAGCCCA